CATGCGCTGTAAAATGCTGCACCAATCAGCATCTCCTTATAAAGATGCATTCAAACAATGACAAACGCAGAGTGTGGAGACACTGAATGTAGATAGGCATCACTTTAAAGCAAGCATGTCAAACTCAGTCTAGCACAGGTCAAATAAATAAGGTTTACATTTATGTGTGCCACAAAAAAAAAAATTTCATAGAAACTTAGGTTTATTTTCAAAAGTACACTTTAAAAAAAATAAAAAACTGAAAAAAAACCACCCCCTTCTACTAAATCCCAGTCCTCCCCATATACTAAATCCCTGTCCTCCCCCTATACTTTATCCCAGCAACCTCCCTGGCCAACAAGTAGACTTCACTCATATTGCCGCTGCCAGTATGCAACTCTGGAGTGTGGCATCTGGTATACCCCAAATGGCGCTGTCCGCACCCTGTGTCAAAGTGGATCCTCCCGCTACTTCTTGAAACCCTGTGAAGGTGGAGCACGTCGACGTCTCGTTGCAATGTGACGTGGCGTTGCGTGCCTCATTGCACCTTCAGGTGCAACACTGACCGACACACACACATTTTCACACACATTTACACACACACACACATTTACACATTCTTGCACACACTCACATCATTTTATTTATTTCTCCCTACCCTTGGGAGCTGGTGTGGGGCCTCTCCCTGGGGTCGAGTGGGTATCTTCTATCTGGAGATTTCCATCCTGCTCCTCACTGCTCTCTTGCTCGCAGTTTAGTGATGCCGGGTGCCGGAATACGACGTCATATGCCGGCATCACTACAGATGGCGCGTGCGATGGGGCAGTGAGTAGCAGGAAGACTGAGGTCCGCCAGCGACCTCTCAGAGTCCCAGCCGGGTAAATTTTAGCAGAGTAGGCATCTGCAGTGTGGAGAAAGCAGATGCCTACTCTGCTTTAACACTAAGCATATACTCGTGGCTTGCCGGGCCGCAAAGATGTTCATTGTGGGCCTCGAGTTTGACATGCTTGCTTTAAATGGACACTGTAGGCACCGAGACCACTTCAGCTCATTGAGGAGGTCTGGGTGCTGTTTCCCTTTTGCACCTGACGTCCTCAGTGGCTGTCTTCTGTCCTCACGGATATCCAGCGTCAGATTTTTCCCCATAGGAAAGCACTATGCGGAGGTCTAATGGGCGCATGGCATTTGCCGCGCATATGCATTAGGCCCTGCTCGTCGCTGGACCTTGGGGGCAGAGTTTCGACCCAGCACCGAGGGACGTCACATCGGCGCTGGGATCAGGTAAGTAAATAAAAGGGTTTTTAACCCTTTATTTACCTGGGATGGGGGGAGGGGTGGGCACGAGGGAGGGGGGAGGCAGAGGGATCGGTTGTGCAGCACCCCTAGAGACAGAAATGCATATTTCTCTTTTTATTTGAGAATTGCATCCTGAGTATTTTCTCACAGAGTTATTCAGTAAAGTTAGAATTCGAAGTAGTAGGCCCAAAAGCCAAAGTAGCCCAATTGGAAGGATAACCGATTTTGAGAATGTTTCTGATTTGGCATTTTTCACCTTGCATTTGAGATTCACTTTGAATTCTCACTTAAATTACCCTTTTCGCATTTGAATTGTATGCCAGGATTTGCTTGTCTTCAGGGTACAGGAATTGCAATGATTGGAGACTTGAGATAACGTCTCATAAGTCTTTCATAACGACATAATGACTTATTTAGTTTTTAGAAATAATATTGGCAGTTTAAATATATAAACACCATGTCATGCACACATTATTTGTCATTGTAAAAAAACATATTCCATACTCCATTTTTATTTTTTACATTTTTATGGCAAAGAAAAACTACCCTCCTCTCTTCATTTTTACGGTGATTTTCTAGATCTTCCTATCTCTACACAGGAACATGTGCTGGCACTCAGAGAAGATCTTTTGCCCGTAATAAACACAGGAACATGTACTGGCACACAAGGAGACTTTTTTTTGCCCCTAAATCTCCCAATAGTAAATCATATAGTAGAAATCTGCAACTTCACTTCTTCGATGGCTAAAAGTTCCATTTTGTTAATGCTGGAACATGATTATTAACCTCTTTGAATTTAAACTGAAGATATAAAATTCATGGCTAAATGCCATTACAATTTGTGTCTTTGTTTGGTGTCAAATTTTAGAGTGATTTGGCAGGACTTACACAGTCATAGGCCAATTGACACTGATTAGTTTGTTATGGCCCTGTGAAGGTAATCATTGCTTCCTGATATATACCCTATGTTAGCGTGGGTTTGTTTTTATTTATTCTTTTTGTAGAATCAAGTTTCTCTGTAAGTAGAGATCTGAATAACTTTCCCGCAATGATCAAATGGAAAATATATTTGTTATCAAGTCAATTGTTTGTTTTTAAATACATTTATTAGCAATAATACTCACTTTGGTGCGTAATAATAGTCTGTAACCTTTTTAAGGCAAAATTATAGAATTTAAATATGGCTAAATAATATCTTTGCATTATTTGCCTTGAATTATTGTCCTCTGTGTCACTGAAACATAATGGACACTTAACCCCCCAGCACCCCAGATGAGATGTGTGTGTAATTAATATTGGGACCAAGAAAAATTTAATTTCTCTTAAAGGACCACTCTAGGCACCCAGACCACTTCAGCTTAATGAAGTGGTCTGGGTGCCAGGTCCAGCTAGGGTTAACCCATTTTTTTCATAAACATAACTTGATTTCTCTAGAGCTGCTATGTTTTAATGAATGAGTTAAAAGCTTCCCAATCCTCTAGTGGCAATGCTCATTTGACAGCCACTAGAGCCTTTAATGCTCTCACTGTGATTTTTCACAGTGAGGCTGCACTCAACGTCTATAGGAAAGCATTATGAATGCTTTCCTATGTGACTTCCCGACTGAATCTTGGCACTGGCTGGCGCGGCGATGCGCCGATGTCCCTCCCAGGCGGCGACTGACGAGGAGGGAGGGAGGGAGGAGGAGGATGGGAGGAGGAGCTCCAGCCCGAAGCGCTGGAAAGGTAAGTTTAACCCCTTTTCCCCTTTCCAGAGCCGGGCGGGAGGGGGACCCTGAGGGTGGGGGCACCCTCAGGGCACTATAGTGCCAGGAAAACGAGTATGTTTTCCTGGCACTATAGTGGTCCTTTAAAGAGCATAAGACAAGGCATTACAACCAAATAAATGTTTTCTTTTTTAGAAAGGCTAATAAAGCAGAATCTGACCTTATTGGATTATTGTTACTGTTTATTGTTGTTTTTAATACGGATCGTCCAGAAACCTCTCTGTGCCCTGATTAAGAAAACATTCTAGTACCAGAGCGGTTTGTTGAGCATGGAGTGATTCTTTAAGCTTGTAAAACATGGTCCTTGTATGTTTCACTGTAGAGTTCAATTACATAAACATCAAAATCTTGTTCTGTTCCTCGTTAGCAACAAGGGAAACAACAGCAAAATAGTGTATTGCATGGGTTTTTCTTTTTCCATTTAACTGCCTGTTTAAATGTTTCATTTGATCTCTGGACGTGATCTTCTGTCTTTTTGGTAACCATTTCAATATTCTCAATCATTTCACCTTGTTCTTCTACTAACTGAGAAATCTGGAAAAAGATGTCTTTCAGTTCCTTCATCTGATTTTCTAAACTCCGCAACTCTCTGTGTCTCTGCTCAATCTCCGATAACTGTGCCTTAGTGATCTTTACATCTGTGAGCAGATTCTCATTGAAGACATCCCACTGGCCTTGTTCCACCATCGTGTTGATCTCCTCTTCAGATATATCTTTTCCAGCTACTTCGAGCTGCCTTCTAATAAACGTTTTACATTTGTCTTGCTTTCCTGTAATTGTTTGGTTGTATTGGAGCATGGCATTTTGAAAGTTTTTAAAGAGGGCAGCATGCTGGGTCTTTAGAATCCTGGAGAGGCCCGATGATGCACCACAGTCTGCTTCTGCCTTTCTAGCGTGCTGAGCTAACAGATCCAGTCGCTTTTTAATGTTCTCAGTCTGGAGTTTGATGTCCTTTGTAATACTGCTGTCCTTTTTTAGAACGCTGAATCGTCTCATTGACGACACAAGTATTTTTTGCTGCTCCCCAAATTTTTTTACGTTTTCAGAAAGCTGGTTGATATCCTTCTGAATTTTGTGGATTTCATCCAAGTAGCTTTGTAGGATGGGCTCTTTTTCAAATATAACCGCCTGCTGCCTTATCTCAAGTGGTTCACTGTTGTCTGTCAAAGTGCATTCAGGTGTTTTTGATGACTCTGATTCTAAATCTTTTGCTTTCTTAATAAATTCTTGAAGTCGATCTCTCATTTTTGCAGTTTATGTACCAGATTATGTGTAAACGCCAATATTCTAAGAAATGTAAAAAAACAAGGGTTCATTGTTAGTATTTCAGAAGTAAGATTTAAAAATAAATAAATAAAAGTACAATGCAAGAACAATGCAAACACCTGGGAAGATGTTGACGATGCAGAAAACATCTGGAATGTTAACACCCAGACATGATTGTCTCAAGGATTTGTTACAATGCATCCCATGATGCTCAGTGATTGCATTAGCTCAGCAGATCTTTTTGCAAACTACCTGCAGACACCTGTTTTAATGGTTAGAGGCAGGGCTTGATAAATCCCAGGAGCCAGGTCGCCATGGCGACTAGGAAAATTGTGATTTGGGGGATTTGTTTGCCCTTTCAGCCCCCGAAGTAAAAAAGGGCTCACAAATCACCTGAAATCGCAGGCGGGCTTGCAGGCTGCTCATGGAGAGTGGAGAGAGAGGCAGGTAGCAGGGTATGCTATCAAAATCCCCTCGCGGAGTTGGGGAGTCACTTAGTGTGGAGGCGGCAATGGAGCTGTAATCTCTCTGCTCTGCTCCCTCGCACCCCCCGCAGTGATGCTGGTAGCCGGAATTAGAAGTCACTCCGGCCTGGCATACTAAACAGCGCGCGGGGGCTGAGTAGGAAGATGATCGGTGCAGCACCACTGTCAGTGAGTGTCTGTTTAGGTGACCTGCCCCCCTCAAATCACATGGGAAAGGTGTTTTCACTCACCTCTTTTCCCACGCCATACTCGTTGTGCCACGTCTGGCGCCATCACCATGGGGAGTTCAGCAATTTTGATCTTATCTCTGTCAATCCAGAGCACTGGTAGATTATTGCGCATGTGCGGCATAACACTACGCTGCAACAATAAACATTGTTGGCATACATTTAATATTCATAATGTTCCATAATTGTTAGCAAGTAGCCTTGGCACATGTGCATGCACAGGGGATCATGCCAAGATGTTGCTGTGCATGAGCTGTATCCAGCTGTACCTTAGGAAATAAGTGGAATTTAAACTTATCTTCTTTCTCTTTGGGCATCATCCCAGTAAACACTTGAATAGCATTTTCTAGCATAAGTAAGTGCGGAAATGTAATAAATCTTTTTAAATTATTTATCTCCTTCAAATAACTTTTCTCCATATATGCACTTTTTTTTTTTATTATTTACTTATAAAATATTTTACCAGGAAGGATACATTGCAATTTTTTTTATTTTTTTTCTTCCCTCTTCTCATGTTCACGTATGCCCTAGTAAGGCAGAAAGAATAAATAAATGTACACACAATTATGCGCTTTTGTCCTTACAATCCAATTCTGAGCAGTTTTGAGAATGCTACTTTGTTGTAGTGTACATTATGTTGTTATTGGCTCAAAGTGTAACCTTCCAGTATGAATAGATGGGAGGTTTAAAATAAGTAAGCTCACTTGTTCTACTGGCAAATTAACAGGGAAGTCCAAAAACTAGATAGAAAATCTGATCTGCAGTCAGGCAATACTTTTGGCATGTTATGTATCTGGTCAGTAAGGTATTGCTGCTATCAAAGTACAGTTGGCAATAGACACACATGTATACATATACATATAAAAAAAAAAAAACTAACAAAAACCTAGTTCCTTCTCTAATGGCACTAAAAGCCTTAGAGACTCCCAAGTTGCAAGTTAATAATTAAAATGAAGTGAAATAATGAAATAAAAATTACTCAATAAATTAAACGTTAGAATTCTTTTTTTTTTTTTTTAAATCAGTTTTACATTTGATTGTGTCTGTGTGTGTGTGTATGTGTTTCTTTTTAAATTGTAGTTTGCTGGCAGGATTTCAATTGCTTTCAAGCCTCCTTCAAGGGCATGTGAAAGTAAACTTTAGTTACTATTAAAAGTATTTGATGCATTCTTTTCAATATGCATGCTTTCTCAGGGTAAGCTGATATGCAACTCTTAAAGGGACACTATAGTCATCAGAACTACAGCAGGGCTTGACAAATTTGCTTTGAATCCAGGAGAAAGCTAAAAAAGTTAAGAGCCAGGTTTTTTTTCCCCAGTGACAAAAATACAATTCTTAAAGGAACACTATTGTCCACGGAACCACTACAGGTTAATGTAGTCGCTCTGGTATCTATAGCCTATCCCTGCAGGCTTTCCAATGTAAAAAGGTAGTGTGTTTACATTGCTGCCAAGAACACCTCTAGTGGTAGTCACTCAAACTAAAGGGTCTCCTACCTCAGTGCATTCAGCATCTCCACGCTCTGCATGGAGGCGCTAAACGTTCCCCACAGAGATGCATTGATCTAATGCATCTCTATGAGGACATGCTGATTGGTGCAGCATTTTGCTGCGCATGCTCAATAGCTCCGAATTCTTTCCAATAGGAAAGCATTGAATTGGCCTACATTATCAAGGTTGATAATATCAGCTATGGAGGCAGGCCAGCCGCAGCGAGACCAGCATGGCGCTGGGGAAAAAAGGTGACTAGAAACACCATTTCAAGGGGGGCTGGTGACCTACACATACACACTCAGACAGACACTGACACAAACACCCTGACAAAGATGTTTAAATTTTTTTTATTATTTGATACACTAAAATAGACACACACACACATATTCCTAGATACACACAGTCAAACACACATACAGACATACACACATGATGGATAAACACACTCTCACAGATAAACATACGCACAGAAGTAAAAAAATAAAATATATATATAATATATTTATTTATTTATTTTTATTTTTTTTAAGCCGCCCTCCTGTTTCCTACCTTTTGGGCGTAGGAGTGTGGCTTCCCTATGTTCCATTGGGACTGGGCAGCATCTGGTGACAGTAGGGCTGGCTGCAGCTGATGGAAGTGGGCTGTCGCTCTGTTCAGACTCCTCCTATATAACTGTGAAGCTCTCTGTGCAGACTCCTACTGTATCCCCATGCAGCTCTATGTGCACCAGAAGGAAGTGAAGGGAACTGTAATTACTTCCTCCTGTAGCTGAGGCTGTGCAGGGGAATGGGCAGGCGGGCAGCTCTGCGAAATTCGAGTGGGCGGCGAGCAGAGCAATCTCTACCTGGTGCCCTGCCTGCATCCAGTCAGCTGCGCAACCTCAGCTCCGGGATAAAATAATTACAGTTCCCTTAATTTCCTCTCAAGACACCGGCGGACAGACGCCTGCACGGGGATTGAGATAGGAGGGAACAGGCTGATCAATCCCACAAGAGTTGTTCCTTGGCAGTAATGTGAAAAGGCTGTGTTTACATTAAAAAGCCTGCAGGCACAGGCAGTAGACACCAGAAAAGCTACATTAAGCTGTAGTTTAGGACTAGTCAAGCCCTGAACTACAGCTTAGTGTAGCTGTTATGGTGTCTGTCTGTCACTGCCGGCTTTATAATGTAAACACAGCTTTTTCATAGAAAAGGGAGGGGTTACATTACTGCCAAGGAACACCTCTAGTAACAATCACTTGGATGTCCAATAGAGGTGCTTCCTGGGTCAATGTGCAGCACTGACGTTCAGCATCTCCACTCTCTGCATGGAGGTGCTGAACGTTCCTCATAGTGATGCATTGATTCACAGAGATGCTGATTGGTGCAGCGTAGCGTTTTGTCTCCGAGTTGGCTAATGACTCTGCCAGAGCTTGTACTAAGCAAAACAAAAGGGCAAAACATTGCACGTACATACTACAGGCACCATGACCACTTTAAATCGTTGAAGTGGACATAATGCTTGCAGTAACCCTTTAATTGATAACCTATGAAACACAAGCATTCCCTTTAACCCCTTAAGGACCAAACTTCTGGAATAAAAGGGAATCATGACATGTCATGTGTCCTTAAGGGGTTAAGCAAACCTACAGTTTGCACATATTTCAATGAGCTTTAAAGACATATCAGATTGATTTTGTTCCAACGGCATGTCGGCTTGTTTAACTTTACACATGTATTCCAGTTCAGCAAGTACATTAAATTTGTTTTACATGACTGATAAGGAAGTCCTTCACAGTTCAACCTGACTGCTGAGAATGAGATCATAACAGTTGCAGTTTGTAAATATGAAAGCAAAGATGTAAGTGGCACAAAACTGGTGTCCTACCCAATTACAGAGATAGGTATTCTGAACTACATTTCCCATTATGCCCATCCAGCCTCTGAGACGCCAACGCTACATGACAGACCCATTATATAATTATTCAAAAGGACTTTTGTTCTCAATGTTATTGTGTAATTACTACAACCCTTAAGGGAACACTATAGGGTCAGGAACACAAACATGTATTCCTGGCCTTATAGTGTTAAAACCACCATTTAGGTGGCTCCCCCAACCCCTTATCTCCCTTAAAAGGTAATAAAACTTATATGATCTCCAGCGGGTGGCCCTGCCTCCGATCTTCCTCCTTGCTGACATCATCAGAATTTATGATTTCAGTCAATCCAATTTCTCATTGGCTGAAATCGGCATAGAGGCAGTGGGGCAAAACACTGGCTTGGCCAATCAGCACCTCCAAATAGAGCGTGGAGACACTGAACAGCAGTGCACCGCCCCAGAAAGCACCTCCAGTGGCCATCTGAGGCAGTGTTTACATGAAAATTCCTGCAGGGAATGATTATACACACCAGAACAAATACCTTAAGCTGTAGTTTTTTTTGGTGACTATAGTGTCCCTTTAACATTTGTTGTTTAACTGTGGAATTATGGATCTAAAATAGCCTCCTGATAATCATCACTACACATCACAGCAAGAGGGAAATTCTAGTTTTGTGTTTTTTTTAATTTATTTTTAATATAATCACACTGGAGCCTCTCCTATCTTGGTATTTAAATATCTACCAAATGCCATTGTTTTAGGTTGCAGGGTTTTAACTAAAGGACCACTTCATTGATATGAAGTGGTCCGTTAACCCTCACGAGAAAGGAATAGAGCTACCAATGAAACTGTGTTGCTGTCAAAATCTTTCCTGGATGGCAAGACTATAAGAAACAAGAACGAAGCTCTGTCCCTAGCTAAAAGATGCAATGAATAACGCTCTGGAGTATTATTGCTCCAGGACATTTTCAATACAAAATAGAGTTCAGGGCTGCTGACTCTGTCAAAACCTCACAGGAGCTTATCTTCCTGCTATCAAGAAAGCAGGAAATACCACTCTATCATATAAGGAGAAAACTATAGATTAAAGTAATGTCTGCTGACACAATCCTGATAAAGTCCCCCCCATACCCCTTCCATTCATGTTGTTTATTTAGTTTGAGGGAACTGATACTGCTGGTTACATGGATGTGTAATATTGTCAATGCAGCTGAAGAGTGGTGAAGACTTTCATTTTATTCTCAAACTGCGCCCTGAAAATTGACTCGCTAATAAAAAGTCCACCATAATCAGTTCGCAAAGTGGTGGTGGATATGGGGCATAGTGTGTACTAATCTACAAGTGAAAGCTCATAGTCAAATAGTGTCAAAGGTTCTGGCTCAGATTTTTTTGGAATTCTATCATCTTAACATCCGATCATGTTGTGTTTTTATTTTTTTTTATTTGTAAACATTCTAAAATGTGAATTGTTAAATGTAAAATGAATGCATTGAAAGCCTGGAACTCTTATTATTTCCACTGTAGTTGATTTTTACTTTGTCCTTCAGTCCCCCAAATATAATACGATCCCATTTATTTTGTAACTTCTACCTTATGGAAATCTCTTATGCTAATGCTGCTATAAGTACTGTTTTGCCTCCAAATATTGCACATACTGCACCCCCCTTTATTTCAATGTAATCTTCGAAGTGTTAATGAAACCCAGCAGCACTATGCAAACTGTATCCATACAACATGCACACAAAGCATTAGTCAAATTCATTATATGCATCACAATAGACTAGGTATCTTTCAGCACTCTGCATTACTGGTCAACTCATTGTTCCCTCCTGCAACTGATAAGTTGTGTGCTCACTGTTAACCCATTCATCATGGGTGACTTGCCAAGACACCCATTACGTAAAGGGGTTTGGGTAACCTTTGGTCATTCCGGGTTTAAAACAAACAGAACCTTTTAGACACTAACAATAAATTTAAAAAACCTTCCAATTTAGCCCTGTTTGTAGTAAACATTATTTTACAAAATGGAAACTAATTTAAAATGTTTATGCTTCATTATGTTTACTCTCTATTTAAGAGGTTACATTTTTTTTCTATAGAGCGAGTACTTTTCAAACTTTGATAAACATGTAGTTTAATATTGGTTTAAAAAAAGTTCAAATTATAATAATTAAAAAAAGTATAAAGATTGCTCTATTCGACATGTGCTAGCTTTTATTTTGCCGTTGGTACAAGCATTTTATTACTGAATACAAATAATTTTAATCACTACGACTTCTGCACAAGCAGCGTATGAGACTTGCAAGAGATTACATGTTTTGTTCCTGCTTGTGTTGTACATGTTTTTATCAAACGTACTTTTAATAAATCATAGTATGATTCATTGTTTTCATTTTTTAACCTATGTAATCGCTTCCTATTGTTACAGATAAAAAGTAGGTAACTACCCAAGAATGAAATATGAAAAATAAATAAATATATTTTCAATGATCTTAACCCATGAAATCCCACGGGTGCTCCGTGACCCTTTCTACCTTGCTTCGCCCACCAGTCTGACACTTCATAAATTAGTTTTCACAACGTAAAATAAACTACCAATGGTTATAATATGAACCTTTGTTGTATTGAATTATTTACGATAAGTGCATAGTATGAATGATGTCATATATAAGGGAGCAGTTAACTTACCCTTTTCGCCTATTCTTTTTATTTCCCTTTGTGTATATTTTCCGTGTGCTCTCAGGCAATATATCCAATGTTAAAAGCTAGCATTCTGTGATTGTTGGTTTAGTAATCCTTTCAGCATGGGAGCTCATCACAATGCAAGACTGCCTGGCCAAGGAGATATGACCTAATATAAGGCATTCTTGGTAACTGAAAGGAATCTTATTTCGCCTGTTCAAATGATACACTTAGCTTGGAGGCGGGTCCTTCACTAACTGACCAATAGAATAAGAGAATGTAAGCTATTGTGTGTATACAGTGTTACAAGTGTGTTCTTTTTCAAAACCACATGGATGTTTTACTTTCAGTGTAACGTGTGATTTTTTTTTTTTTTTTTAAAAGGAAATCATTTTATATATATGTTTTAAACAGATGTGAAATCGTTATAAATTGGAATATTGTCCTGGCAAGTAAACTGTTAATAGAGAGTTTTATCTTCAATGCGGAGAGGGCATCAGACCGGTTTGGTTGGCTTTTGCAATATTGACAGTGTTTATATTGCAAGTATAATGCTTAGCTGGCTGTTAAACAGTGAATCCATTTGTATTTACTTGCTAGACTGGGTTCCAGTCCTGCTAATATTTCCTTTTGAGAAGTATGGAATTTTATTATGCAATGTAAAGTATGACTGTTTTGTGCAAGTGCCATTCTGAAATTAAACCATAATAATTTTTCATTATTACAGAAAATAAAACGTTACATGTAATTTAGCCTTGTAGTGCATTGATCCCAAGGTAAAGGACCACTCTGAGAACCATAACCACTTAAGGGGTAAAGTGTTAATGAACGGTTTAACCTCAAACTCTTAAGAGAAGGCGTTGCTTAAGCACTCTCCGACTCTACTTCCCACGAAGGAGCTGCAGTTAAGCTGAGAGGGTCAGCTGACGCTCTTACCCCATCACTAGCTAACCATTCAGAAAGTGGTACATTTTCATGCCATTTTCTGAATGGAAATCTAATGATAAGCTGAGAGCATCAGCCTGCTTCCTTTTGAGAACTATGGAATAGGGTGTTAAAAATTTTAATGCAATTTTAATGCAATTTAAAGTCTGGAAGACTGTGCCTGAATGCTCTGCCCTTTTACTTCCCATGTTGGTTTAAGGCTCCAATTAGAAAGCTTTGTACCAGGCGCCGATGATAGACTGCAAGCGTTAACTGGCACTTCCACTCTTCGCCTACACTTGCTTACCATTCAGAAAATGGTACCTTTTTCACTCCTGTTTCTGAATCGGGATCTAGTGAGTCAGTCAGCTGATGTTCTCACTCTATTAACGGTGCCTGGTCTGAGGCTCCCTGATTAAAGACTTGGATCTTCATTGGCATTATAGAGGCATATTGATCGGGCACTGACTTCCAACAGTTGATTAACGGTTTAATTCCTTAAGGTAGGATGGTGCACAGGACCTAGTCAGTCCATAAAAAATTCCATGTGATAAAGATGTTATGTTATGGTACCTCAAGTATACATTTCATTGCACCTCCTGCTTACTCTTACATTACGAGGCTCAATTTATATGTTGTTGTGCATTATCTGAAGGTCTGAAACCATCCCATAGTACATTTCGTGAGATTCTTGTGTAAGATGCCAGGATTTCTGAATGCTTACTATCGCTTGACTATCTGCACAATGCTTGGTTGGATGAGCAGTGCGTCTGACCAAAGAGGACTTAAAGTTGGCTACCTCTTTAACCCCTTAAGGGCCAAACTTCTGGAATAAAAGGGAATCATGGCATGTCACACATGTCATGTGTTCTTAAGGGGTTAAAGCAACAGTAAACCAGAAGGGGTACTGAAAAGAGGTGTTCACATGTATGTATGTATGTATGTATGTATGACTTTCAATAATACACACAGAGGCTTTACCATATGTAATATTTTATTTTAAATAACAATAAAAAAATATGACCCCTTTCCTTTAACATGCTTGTGGAATCAAGATTTGCGGCCATTTCTGTGCATGTATACCTTAGAAAACTAGATTCTGTACATATACAAAATGATTCTGTCATATGGAGAAATGCAAAACACACACAAAAGATAATTGTGCTATGTTTATACTGTTAAAGCAGTATTTCAGTTGTTTTAATAGCATATTTACACATGCATTTCCTATTGATTGTACTTGGAGTATAATTCCCACCATGCACTTTGTTTCCTGTTTGGCTGCTCATTTTGTTCATTTTTAAAATGTGTCTTAATTTAGAAGTGAAAATTGGAGGGGATCTCCGTGACTTCTCACAGCATAATAAGTTTGTTTGTATTGCTGATGAACTAAAAGATATTATTCACAGTAAACACAAAACAATAATGTGACGAGCAAAGGAATGGAAAATAAAATTAACTAAAAATATACACACAAAAAAAAATATAGTAACAGAATTAATAAAAAACAAAAAACAATTTATGATATGTTTGAGAAATAGACACACACACATACTCTCCTAAAAGGGACTCAAATGTCCCTTAAAGGAACACTATAGCATTAGGAATACAAATATGTATTCCTAATGCTATAGAGCCCTAGTCACCTAAGCGTTCCACAGGAATAAATGCTTAATTAAACATTTATTTGCTTACCTTAATCCAGCGGCCGGGCTCCCTCGGCGCTGGTGACCTCTCCTCCTTCATCGACGTCAGCTCCCAAATCGAGCCGAATGCGCATGCGTGGCCAGAGGCGCACGTGTGCATTCTAATCCGTCCCTAGGGAAGCATTACTCAATGTTTTCCTATCATGATCTTTTTTTGACTCTGGAAGTCCACGAAAGACGTCCAGTGTCAAATAAGTGCGATTTACTTAGAGTAAACCTCTAGTGGTTGTCTCCCTGTAGGCTGGATTAACCAAGCAGTGTAAACATAGCAGTGTCTCTGAAACTGCTATGTTTTCAGCTGCAGGGTTAAAACTAGGGGGACCTGGCATCCAGACCACTTCATTGAGCGGAAGTGGTCTAGGTGCCTATAGTGGTCCTTTAAAGAAACAACCCAAGCACCATAACCACTACATAATGCTTTTTAGAATGGTTTGACTTATCTGGAGCCCACCGTGAACCAATCGCTCTCCTCAGCTAAGTTTTGCAATGCAAGGCTAGCTCATTGGCTGAAATAATCAACTGATCGCTCAATGAGCTAAGCTTTTCACTGGCAGGCTTAGCTCAGTGAAGAGAGTTTCCAGTGCTCACTGTTCAATGGTGGAGGAGGGGAGTGACGCCTGATGTAGTAGTTATGGTGCTTGGAGTGTCTTTTTCACAAGCATTAAAGAAGAGCTCTCACTGACTATAATAGACTACTCCAACCCCCCCCACCCCCCCCAAGCCATTAAACAACATTTAATGATATTGCCAAATGTCAGCTCAGTTATAATGTTAAATTGTAAGCCCTTGCATCTTGTGTAGACCTTTGTATAAAACTACGCTTTATTGATATTGACTTAATAGAAAGCTTTTCTCTGATCCCATCAGAAAATACATGCATGTTTTTAGGTAATTTGCAGCTTAACCTTTTTTTTTTTTACTTTGTGTATTACAGCCTGGCCAACAAACAGGACAGGGAAGGGGCACTGTCTGAAGCTGACATCATAGAGTTTCTCTCACTTGAAAAACTTGTTAATGAATATAAATGTTTATGTCAGATTGTAAGTATCAGGTTTCCTCTGGCTGTTGGAAATGTGATAATGTTAAAAAATGTATCCGTTTCCCGATAGTGCACTAAAGTATTCTGAAATGGAACCTGTGTCTGTAACAGGGGCATACAATAAAACCATTTTGGCTATACGCAGTTAATTACTTTGTTGCAGCAACTCTGCATGCCTGCTTAGCTGTGTAATCTTAACAAGATGACATGACTCTTATAAACCAATCTCCTAAAGGTTTATTTACACTGAACTCTGAATTGGAACATTGAAATCCGAAGGGCAAAAAATCAGGACAAAATAGTCAAGCTGCTTCCATAGCTGAGCTGCATGATTTTTCAAGATCAACTATTTTAGCCTAAATTTTGCCAATAATATTTAAATTCTGTAAAATTCAGATCAACACTAGTAATTTAGTGTTAATCTGTAACTTAAAATTGATGTCTGCCCTTGAAATTTTCAAGTCATTTTATGATGATCTTTGTGTACATATCTCCCTAAAATAAACATGGTCTCTGGTAGATTTATTTGTGTTCTACATTTGATACAACTCTGTTAAACATGTTTTAAAGGGTTTAAATATTATTCCTGTAAAATAAATGTTGAGTATAGTTTTCCGTTGTATTTTACAAAACGTTGTGTGATCACAAACATAAGCCATAAGTGTTTTGTGTCAATATCACTTTGCTTCCACTTTTGTATTTACATTATTTAGTAATTATTTTGATTCCTCTATTCAGGAGCCATGTTCTGCAGTTGTTCGCCAAGGAAAGAAAATTGACAAGTCAATAAAAAATGGTCTGAACTGGTTGTTATGTGTAATAGCAAAAGATTTTGAAGCATTACATGAACGCATTCAAAAAGAAACAGCAGAACAGAGAGCCCAAGAGGAACAAGACAGGCGTGAACGAGCCGAGAGAGTGAAAAGAATACGAGAAGAGAGGTACTATGATTCTATCCTAAAAATTCAGGACAGACTCGGGGGCTGTAAAAGCTTGTTTTGGGCTTGGAATATTTGTGGATTATCCATGTATAAATGTTCTTGCTGTTTGCTGTTATTAAGGCTGATGATGATCATTATTATTGATTTGGTTTGAATGTTTAAAATAATTTTGGATGAGAGTAGTAGTTTCATTTATGTGAAAATCTTGGTGTCCATTCATGTTTTGTCATATATGGCGCTAGTCATTGTTGCACTGCAGACCTTTTCTTTTTTGAAAGCTATGAGAAATCTGGGTAGGTGATAACTTGTATTGTGTGCCCCCTGTGTGTACACATGCTATACAAGTACTTTTACAGCCATAGGCAATTATAATTTACCGTTGGCATATTTCAATGGTGGGAAGTTGGCTCACTGATGTTATAAGTAATTTAAAGAATTGAGAATAGGACACGGGAATCCCTTAAAGCAGGTTTGTCTCTGTGAAATATGCAAAAATTCCAAAAGGGACAGATCCAGTGTGGGTCTGGTGGCTAGGGGATGCAGGCGAAGGTAAGGTTCAGTTACCTCAAGCTTTCTCTCACAGCAGCCACTGTTCTCATCCTTCAGGTCCACTTTAGTTCCTGGTGCATCAGTTGCTAGGAGCTGCATAAGTGCTGTACTCTCGCACATGCTCTGAGGTTTACAACCCCAAGGTCTATGGAGGAACCCTCCTGGAGTCTTCATATACAATTCCTGAATCCCACAGCTGTCACTAGTGATGGATGCTGGGATTGGACAAATGTTGGTGGCAGAGCTCGACCTTTTGTCTTCTTTCATAATCTTCAAGGTTTACCATAAGTCAAAGTAGTCCCTACTGTTACTTATGGTATCTTTTGGATTGCAAGGGATTCCAACGCAGTCTTCATCAGTATTTTATAAAGAATATTTCTTCATGAAATACTGAAAAGTGACAGATCCATTTAAGCTGTGTGCTATGAGATACATTGAAAATATTCAAAATTTATACTGTGAAAAGCTTGAAGGCAGAACATTTCAATGCAGAACATGTTTTAATAATATAAAAGTTCTGGCGCTTAATACAAATAAACAACAAAAGGATGATTGTCTCTGATCTGCTAAAAAAACAAACCTGTGCTTCGGATAAAACTGTTTAGTTTTTACTTCATTTCTAGTGGCAACAACTATTCCAAATGGCATACACCTTATAATGACATGGATCTGTATTTGTCATCCAAATAAGACAAAACACATTTTTAGATAGATACATAAATCAAGCATCATTTTGATTTGTGCCCATTTTATTCAGTCAGGCTGCTATATAGAGAAACTACACATGGTTCTTTATGTCTGTAGTGATATGCTAAAGTGGACGTTCATACATTTGCATTAGCACACCGACTTTGGACATTATTCATTGGAGGAGAGCTGCCTGCTGATGCTGAGACCCTGTTAAAAATTCCCTTTTATATTTAAATGTTCAGAATCAATAATGAATAGCAGGTGAATGCTAATACGCTTATGCTTTCTCTAATTTAATCTTTATAACATATTCAAACTTTCACATAGTCTCAGATACAGCACACACGGTTCTATAAAATACTTATTAACTGAACACACATCTTGCTTGATCACATCTCTTGGTAGTCTAGTAAAATTCTAGAAATTGGGCCTGGTCTAGCTCCAATCCTTATGTGTCTGCTACTTTGCAGGGTGTTTTTTTTGTTTGTTTTTGTTTTATAGGGTGGTGCACTGAAGGCTACAACTATGTATTTCAATTATACCTCCCTCAATCACTACCACACCAAATGTTATAATTGCGGCTTTGCAAGAATGCCTCCATTTTGGAGTTGACACTGTGTAGCTGCATAGTTCACAGACCCACAAGTCCAGATAATTGGCTGATTAGTAAAATCTCTGAAGACGCTTGTTGCAAAGCAATCCAGAAAACATGATTCCAGAGAAAGGAAACAAATTCTAATTTGATTTTTTGACTTTATTGTCTCTTTAAATGGCCTCACTTAGTAAAAGTAAATATGCTGGTATTTTCGTTTAATTTGTTTTGTTGGTATAGGCTTGCACATTCAATGTGGTTTTTCCTCCAATATTCACAATCAAAAGCTCAGTGTTGTCAGTGACAAAATGACTATCCTTTGACGTCTATTATTTTAATACACCATGTGCTAAGAATACTTGACTTTTATTTGTAGTTTAGTTTTTAACTAGAATGAAGACTTATTAAATATGTATTGGATATATCAGATATCTTGCACAGTGCAAATGTGACCTTTTTTTTTTTTTTTTGAATCATGGAATTTAATGTACAGATTATTTCAAGGAACACTATAGTCACCTAAAGAATTTTAGCTTAATGTAGCAGTTTTAGTGTATAGATCATGCTTCTCAGGTTTCACTGCTCAAGTCACTGCCATTTAGGAGTTAAATCACTTTGTTTCTGTTTATGCAGCCCTTGTCACACCTCACCTCTGACTCTGACACAGCCTGAATGGAAAAAAAAAAAAAGCTGGTTTCATTTTTAATCAGATGTAATTTACCTGAAACAATAGTATCTCTTTCTTTGTAAATTGAACTTTAATCACATACAGGTGGCTCTTGCAGGGTCTAGCACGCTATTAACATAGCAGGGAATAAGAAAATCTCTAAATTAAACAGAACTTGCAATAAAGGAAGAATACACTTTAGATGACTCTTTACAGTGTTTAGGAAGGCAAGTACCATGCAGAGAAGTGTGACTAGGGTTCATAAACAACGTGATTTAACTCCTACACGGCAGCGAATTGAGCAGTGAGACTGCAGGGACATGATCTATACACCAAAACTGCTTCATTAAGCTAAAGTTGTTTTGGTGACTATTGTGTCCCTTTAAATAAAAATAAAAATAAAACCATCATGAAAACTGGACAAAATGGAGAAAAATCTTTCCAGTAATGACATTTAGGCAATCTAATATATTAACATATACTCAACATATACTTAACATATTCTCAAAATTTAAAGGGACACTATAGGCACCCAGACCACCCAGACCACTTCAGCTTATTGAAGCGGTTTGGGTGCATAGTCCCAGATCCATTAATCTTGCAAAGGTAATTATTGCAGTTTTTAATAAGCTGCAAAAATTACCTTTGAGGGTAAACTCCACCTCTAGTGGCTGTATAGCAGACAGCCAGTAGAGGGACTTCCAGTCATTAGATGACTTTTGGTCGCCTGACGCTGGACGTCTTCACGCTATGCATGAGGACGTTCAGCGTCACCCAAAACCCCAAAGGAAAGCATTATACATGCTTCCTATGGGGGATGTCGTAATGCGAGTGCTGTGATCGACGCACATGCGCAATCGCAATAGGTTTCCCTCCTGGCTGACATTGCAGGGGAAGAAGGCAGGGCCTAAGGCAGCGTCAACGAAAGACAGTGCTGAACTCAGGTAAATGACATAAGGGGTTTTTAAACCTTTTCTGGACCACAGGGAGGGGGCGGGCCTTGAGGTAGGGGACTCTATAGGGTGCTATAGTGCCAGGAAACCACTGTTTTCCTGGCGCTATAGTTTCCCTTTAAAGATGAAATGTATTCAGTACAAGAGGTTCAAGTCAGTTGTGCAAAGAACAGTGGTTAGTGTATGTGTTTATATATAATCTCCTTCAATGTATATAGTTTAAATAGTGCTGCTGTTAATGCTAGATTTGCTGTTTAGTTTGGCAGTGTCAGGCAGCATACATTTGACGGTGGGTATATTTGAGACGTTGATTAGAGGGTTGTTTCCCATTAGATGGGTATTTAGTTGGGAACTGAGAATGTATTGTTAGGATACATCTTGATTAGATCTGGTGGTGGTCATCTAGTAAACATGCACTTTTGTTCCTTACAGTCTAATAATTAAAAGATTAAAGAGATATTTTTTTAATCAAGTAAAATTCATCATCAGTTTCGCCGAAAGTATTTGTTACACTGGCTGCAAAGGGTCTTTTGAAACTTTCTAAGTGACTGTGTGCACTGATCCATTTAGTCCTTTCAGATAATTACATTATGCCTAACTATCTTGCTCAGGTTTTTTTTAATGTTAATAGTGCCTTACTGAAGAATCTGTTTGTGATTCCTCTCACCTAACTCTTACCTCCTGGGGACTAGAGAGGATACCAGACTGCAGGGTTGTCTCAATGTGTTTAAATCTTTACCACCAAAACTTAATTCCTTCATTTATCCCTCCCCAGCTAATCAACATAATCACCAACCACAGTTATAATTACTCACATATAACACAATTTAGTTACCCCACCATACCATGTGAAACATATTTCATCCACAATGCATACCACCTTGTTACTAATGCCATCAGTGGCAGCCTCATAAATCATCCTTATTTGCTATGGTACCCACAAATCTCACTCCATTGGCTGCTACATCAGATACAGCTTTTATCAGACGACACCGTGTATCCCACAGAACCTTTCAACCCGCCACCTTTCATGTACATCTCCCATATAACCGTTGTTATACGGCGAACTTCAGCCACTATGCCATGCTGGCACTAACATCTCCCATATCTTTCCCTTGACTGCCAGGCACACCGCAGGATATCTTCCTAAAACAGCATGCTATTCTAGGAATGTTATAGAAATACCATGGTTTTGCTTTTCTTTTTTTTGTGCAAATCTAATGTTTTTAATGTCTCATCTGCATATTTTGCATATCACTGTTGATGAAGACTGTCATTCAGAGCTGCCATTCGGTATGCGAATTTTATACTTTGGGGACTTTACACTATTATTAACATTGAATTGTGGAGAAGTAACAGAGAAACTGCAAATTTTAGGCTTTAATGTCTTAAATGGAAAAATCGTCCAGTTGAACCATTTCCCCATCTCCGCTATTTTGGTTTAAAGTTTGCACTCCCTTGGCAAGTCTTCACAGTTTATTCGATAACCCATTTATTATATTTTTAGAATTTTACTTAAAGTGTAACTGTCATGACAGTCACTGACAATTGCAAAGAGCATGCTATTTATAATTTTATGTTGTAATTTTTGTGATTTATATTTTCCTCTGGCAAAATATTTCACGTATTGCTAAAGGATAGGAGGATGGGGGTGACTAATGTCACTTTCAAATGCCAATGCAATGGCAATGGAGGCAACGTGTATTACTAAGCAGGGCCCCCAGTATGTAAGCGGGAGGGTTCATTATATTTTGGTAACGCTCACCTCCTTGACATTTGTTTCACTGCTAGAATGCTAATATGGAAATTTCCATGTATGGATAAAACTAGTACCAAGTTAACGAGACTCAATTAGACAAACAACTGTTTATTATTTATTTATAAAATATTTTACCAGGAAGGACACATTGAGATTTCTCTCGTTTTCAAGTATGTCCTGGGTCCACAAAACATTGCATTGATAACAATAGGCTACAATAAAATACAAAACAATATTAATACACAATATCTACAAAATTTAACATAGAACAGGTAGGAAATATATAATCAGCCGTGACAGGTGCATTCTGTTTTGAGATATGTAGAGATGGATCTTTAGGCTTGGGGAAGATTTAAGTGTGCGGGAGGTCATTCCATAAAAGCGGTTCTCTGTAGGAAAAGGAGGATCGAACCGCTTTCTTTTTGTATTGAGGTAGACTAAATAAAGTGCTGGTACTGGATCAGAGGTTATAGGAGGTGAGAACAGCCAGGGAGAGCATTCTGCTCAGGTAGGGTGAGAGCTTCCCAGAAAAGCTCTTAAACACAAGGCTGGAAAGATGAAGAGTGCATCTGGATGTTCAAGCGACAGCCAGTTTAGTTCTTTTCTTTTAGCATGTCACAACGGTGGGTCCTGTAATTACACTGTAGCACAAATCGGCAGAACGAGTTATACAATGTATTAAGCTTATTTAGGTGAGTTTGCGGTGCAAGTGCATATACTACTTCCCCATAATCAATTATTATGTTTGTGTTTGGGCTATAGCTCTTTTATACACAATCTATACATTTAGGATAAGCATTCTGGTTGTTCTAGAAAGTTCAATAATTTAGAGCTGGTTTATATAGGGTATGATTTTTATCGAGAGCAAAAACCGGGGTGCAAGAGCATACTGAGAACAGGCAGCAGCTGAAATAGCCTGCTCTTCTGTGGGTCCCCGCTCAGTTCTCAAGCTGGTTTTAGCTCATCTTGTGCCATTACAGAGAGAACATCTCTGAAACATATCAGACTGGTCCCACCCATACGGGCAGTCCAGATCCGAAATGCCAGCAAGTTCCCTCTGCACAAGAGACACAGCAACCCCAGACGATCGTTTCAGCCTTGTTAGGCATCGTCAGTGAGGCATAGCTGATATCTCTCTAGGCACCGTGAGCAAGGGGTCCACATCTGGATTACCCTTTAAACTTATGGAGGGCAAAAAACGGGGCGCAAGAGAATACTGAGAACAGGCAGCAGCTGAAATAGCCTGCCCTTCAGTGTGTCCCCGCTCAGTTCTCAAGCTGGTTTTAGCTCATCTTGTGCCATTACAGAGTCTATGGTTTTTATCGGTATTATAGTGTGCCGATTATACACTTGAGTTTATTTTAGTTTGTATATTATCATATATAGTTAAAGGAACACTATAGCATTAGGAACCTAAACTTCCTAAAACTATAATGTTCTTCCCACTACATAGATGTCTAAGCCACCCTAAATAAAAGTTCAAATGTTTTTACCCGACTGATTTCCAGTACTGAGACATACTCAGTGCTGCTGCACACTCCACCTCTTGCAACACCATACGGCATCGCTTCCCGTCCAATCCAATGCTTCTAATAGAAAAGCATTTTAAACAACAAGTGCATGTGAAGTGACTGTCATGGTAATCCAGTTAAATGCTTAACAAATGTAGGTATTAAATACAATGCTTTCCTATGATCGACATTTAATGTTGAATATCACATAACCAAGTCCAACTTGGTTATGAGTGTGGAAGCGCCTCTTGTGGTTGCCTGCAGTCAAAACATTACTGTATCTACTAAACATCAATGTTTTCGGTTGCAGTGCTAAAACGCCAAGGGCACTGCACCAAGAGCACTTAATTAAGGTGGAGTGATCTGGGTGCCTTTAGTGTCCCTTTAAATTAATCATTTTAATTTGCATACAAAAGTGTCAAATATGATGTATTTTCTAATAGAATAGATATGAAGATAATTTCATACTCTAAAAATGTGCATGTGTTGCCTTTAAACTAAAAGTCAACCAAAACTGCAAGAGCACCCTCTTGTGACAGTATGTATTCTGTCACGAAACAGAGAGAGTCACTTGTTTATAATTAGCATCACAATCTGTGTGTGACACAAGCTGTTTAAAGTCTATGATTGCAAGGTTCAGGCATTGTCTTGATAATCCATTATCACTTTTTACCCATTTATAATGAAACAATTCCATTGGAAATAATGAGAAATTGTCATGAACTGGTGAGAATAGCCACATGCACCTGTTGGCTGCTAGTCATTCATTTTACCAAATTTGCCAAAAACACATGTTCTGTTGTGGAATAGCATTACATGGTTTCAGGGACATAGCACATAAACAGGAAGACGACAACAACAAGGGGGTGGGGGGTGTCACTATATAATTTTTCCTCTTTTTTTTTTTTTCTGATTCATCTAAAGCACATGGAGTTCGAAATATTGTATGTTACCAGCAATGAGCACATATCTGAGCATTTAGCTTGAATTACAAAAGGGGTATGCTGAATACCATAACCACTACAGTTTATTGCAAGGGTGCGGCTCCTCCTTTTTTTTTTATCTTATCCTTATTTGTCACTACATGAATCCAACTTAAATATTTTTGATGGATAATTAGAAAGGTGAAACCTCAATATAAGGCGTTGAACTTACATGCTGGGGAATCCTCCACTCTGCTCAAACTTTTTGAAAGCATTTAAAAAAAAAAACAACAAAGACAAAACAGAGAGACCGCACCAATAGATTCCTTGCACCACAACTACTACAATAAACTTCAGTGGATATATTGCTTAAAGTGTCCCTTTAAAGCTAGATAAAGTATATACGTATTGACTGATTTGACTGATTTACAGAGACGAGAAAGAAAAGGAAGAGGCAGAAAGGGAAGGAAAGCCTGTAACCGATGATGACTCCATTCTGGCAGTCAATCCTTTCCAACCCATATCAGCCGTTATCAATGAGGTATGTATGCATGAAATGATTATTCTGGATGTGCCTTATTTAGATTTGATAGACTGCCATATTAGGGTAGTATGTTATACAGTGTGGGGTGACCAATTTGTCATATATTTAATTTTGTTACAATTTCTTTTCTACTCCTGTAGTGTCATATCTTTATTATATATTTTTTTTAAATCTTTTTTTTATTTTTTATTAATATTCTGATATGTCCATCTCTCTTTCTCTATTTAGAGTCAAGGATTAGTCTGGCTTCCAATTAATTTAAATATTGTAAAATATTTTGCTTCTATTTTATTTTGTGATGAGACACATTATATTTGTAGAATGAAGAAAAGATTCGAAAAGAAAAAGAGAAGAAACGTCAAAAAGTAGCAAATGAACCAAATGGAATTGACATACCTCTTGAGACAAAGAGTGAAGACACAGGGAGTGAGAGCAGTCAGCCCAACCAGACTACCCAAGGGGGTGATTTAATAGAGGCATATAAGGATGCTTTAGTCCAGAAACTGGAGCAAGATGATGCAATTTGTGACTCCTCTGAAAAGAGAGACTCAGGTATTTTCCTGATTTCATTGTGTGTACATATTCAAATATTACAAATATTATTAAAACATTTAAGCTACTTGGTATTCCACTTATTTTTTTTTTTTTTTAACCTCAATGGGAGTGGAGACATTACTACCATTACTATTATTTTAAACTGTCTAGAGCCATAGTTCTCAAGCCAAATGTCATGAATTGCCAATGGTTTAGAATTTAGGTAAAACCAAATTTTGGCACCATGGGAAACCCAGTGTTGCCTACAATTTGGTAGAACTATGTGTATTTAAATAATTTAGCATTCTGTCTTAACTGACAGTTTTTGTAACTGTTTTTTTTCCTACTGCATTACAGTTCTTAGTACCTACCGTATGCCTAAAAAATGGTTTTGTTGTTTTTAGATCAAAGCAAAAAGAAAGCAAAAAAACTCAAGTTAAAAAGGAATCACAGAGTTGAGCCTATCAGTACTGAGGAACCTGAAATAAAAAGTCCAATTACCCCTCCACCTATTGTACCTGGTGAGTAATGAGTGGTCAATTCTCCCGTTCTGAAGGAAGAAGATGGATGAACAAGCTGCATCATTTAACATTAGATTACCACAGTCTTTTTTTTTTTTTTTTTGTACCAAGCCAGTCATTTTTTTAAAGGGCTGACTTTCTAATTTATTATAACTTTTATACACCCAGAATCTTGGCTAAATAGATAAATTTAGTGAAAACCGAAACATTGTCAACAGCTATTTATCATCTGGCACATTTTTGACAGTTTTGGTATTGTATGCAGTGATAATGTAATATCTGTATACATGTATAAATCAGTATTTTAATTGTTAATAGCTTGTAAATTGTAACAATCCTGTTAATTTATTACTATGAAGTATATTTTTTTAATATCGAAAATATTTAATATGCTGTGCTATTATATATCTTTTATGTGCTGTCCTCTGCATTTATAGCACTATACAATTCTGTCCCGACTGTAACAACCATTGTATTTACTGTATGATTAAATAAATTTCATATAGTTTGTTACCCTAGCCAGCAATACTCAGTGTTCGTTTTATATTATAATATGCTTTTTTGCTAAATGGAAATATTGTTATGTGTGTTGCACACATAATTTACATGCATATGGTGTTATTTAAACTTGAGATTACTTTTTCTTTCATAGAACTATGTATGCGGTTGGCTCATCTAAGCTGCCTGTTCTAAAACTTCTGGCCAATGGTTTAGTTATTTATTGTTAGGATAAAATCATGTATATCCCTGGTATCCTTGACTGCTTTTAATGAGTTACTACAATCATCATAGCAACTACAGCCTGCCAGACGCCATTCATTGGCTAAGAGCATACAGATGACTTCTCTCTGCCAATGACTGCCATTCTGTACAATAAAAGTTGCGCAGAATTTACAATAATTAACTCTAGTTCTGGACTGGCTGATAACACCCTGCTGTAGGTGGAGTTACACCTCTGGCAGCAGAGGGGTTAAACTCTGCATGGGCAGCATTTCACAGCGACATTCTGCACATAAACTCCACGCACCATGTCCACTTCAAATCACTGAAGTGGTTATAGTGCTTGGAGGAACCCTTTAAGGCACCCAGACCACTTCAGCTTAATGAAGTGGTCTGGGTGCCTGGTCCTTCTAGGGTTAACCCATTTTTTTTTATAAACATAGCAGTTTCAGAGAAACTGCTATGTTTATGAATGGGTTGAGCCTTCCCCCCATTCCCTCTAGCGGCTGTCTCATTGACAGCCGCTAGAGGCGCTTGCGTGCTTCTCACTGTGATTTTCATAGTGAGAGCACGCCAGCGTCCATAGGAAAGCATTGATAATGCTTTCCTATGCGACCGGCTGAAAGCGCGCGCAGCTCTTGCCGCGCATGCGCATTCAGCCGACGGGGAGGAGAGAAGGAGGATTGGAGGAGGAGAGCTCCCCGCCCAGCGCTGGAAAAAGGTAAGTTTTTACCCCTTTCCCCCTTCCAGAGCCGGGCGGGAGGGGGTCCCTGAGGGTGGGGGCACCCTCAGGGCACTATAGTGCCAGGAAAACGAGTATGTTTTCCTGGCACTATAGTGGTCCTTTAATGTGTTAGCCTTTTCTACTTCCACTGGAAAACTATATTGTTATTCTGTTAGCCATTCTTGAGAGACGCATTTTCTGGTTATCCTTCAGGCTTCCACTCCCGTCACTTTTTTTCTTTCCCCCCCCCAATAATCCCTAAATATATTTAGTGGTTTCTGTCATTTTTGTTCTCTAAGGTCTCTATACTTGACTATTGGGAGCCTATTCTATCAAGACGATGATACAAAATACACCAGGAAAATTCTTACTGATATGTAATATTTATTTTTTACCGAACAGCAATTCCACGTTTTAGAGTGTGATGTTTTCTTTTAGCTTGCAGGTTTTGTTTTTGTTAATTAAATTTTGTTTGTTTTCCTGTAGTTGGATGGGGAACCCCAAAAGTTACTAGACTTCCTCCAAAGCTTGAGCCTCTTGGAGAAACACATCATAATGGTAATCCAGAAATACCTTTATTTTCTGTTTCTTCGCATGCACATCACTTCCATTTGTATGTGGTCACTTAACCATTAACCTTTTAATTAACCATCATTTATGACTTCATCCCATCTATTCCAACGGTTTTATATATTGATGATCCTTTTTCCACAAACCTCCCCATCAGTGTAAAAGTACAACGTTTTCATATTCAAACAAATTGATACCATATGAATTGTTTCAGGTCATTGTTGTACATTTAAATATTTACCCCCAAACTATATTACTTTTCTAAAAGGGACTTTTTATACAGCTGTGTTGTTCATATCTTGGATAGTCAAGTTTGGTACCCCAGTGTCTGTGCACAGCATCCTTCCCCTACATCCCCTGTTTTCTAAACCATGCAATACAGCTGAACTTTCATTGGTTGACTCTCCGTTCTGCACAAACAAAACATCTATTCATCCATGTTGGGCTGGCTACTTATCCACCGACATATTTATGAATGTACTTTAAACAAAACTAGCTAATTTCACCCTATGACTGCTTGGAAGAAATTTAAAGTCAAAATGCCATTGGATCACAATGGACACTATCATATCTCCTTGCGATAACATATCTAAACCTCTACATAATTTGTCAAAAACAGACCAAGAAAAATAACGAGAATGTAGGTATTCTCACAATTAGGAGGAGTAATCTCTTACAGCATATTTTTCTATTGTGGCAGTAATAGTACAAATTACAGAACGAAATCTTTCTTTTTCCCCTTTTCATTTCTGTCTATATATTTATAAAATATTTGTAAGAAACACTATGGTGTTTAAGAGGGTTAAACTGCTTGAAACACAATACAAAGCCTGCTATTATCCATGTATAAAACTAACCTAAAACAGCTGTTTCCTAGTCATTTAATCACTTTGTTAATATGATCATTTGTGTTGTCTTGTCTTCCTGATCTGTAACATTTTTTGGATTCATCTGTTTCCCCATAATAACAATTACTAACCAAAGCAATTTATTCCTAATAAATACCTCTAAACATTAACACCTTGTTTGTGTTCTACATGTATTACATGTTTATATATTGCATTTATGATTTTCCAATGCAGCACCATATAAAGCAGGAACTGTTTATTTGTTTGTTTGTTTTTTTTAGTAACTTTGGAAAAAGTGTGGCAACATTTTTATTTTATTGTCACATTATAAATATTTTCTAGAAATGAACTTAAAGGGATACTATAGTCCCCAGAACCACTACAGCTTATAGTAGTGGTTCTGGTGTCTAAAGCATGTCCCTGCAGGTTTTTCAGTGTAAACATAGCTTGTAAATGGCAATAGCAATGCAAACTCATCTAGTGGCAGTCACTCAGACAGCCACTAGAGTTGCTTAATATTTCAATGCTGCACTGTGTTCAGCGTCTCTATGCTCTGTATGGATACGCTGAATGCTTCCCATAGAGATGCACAAGAGAAAAATAGAAGAGTATAGGCAACACTCCTGGATACTGATGGTGCAAGCTTTATTCAAGGGTAAGTTACCCCACTAAAAGAATGCGACGTTTTGGCTAAAATGAGCCTTGATTGTGCTGCTTAATGAAGAAATGCTGAATGGCGCAGTTTGGTGTTTTGCAGCACATGCGCAATAGCCACCCAATGCTTTCCTATGAGAAAACATTGAATTAGCTTAGATTCTCAAGTTTGATGATCTCAGCCGTGGAGGCGGGACCAGCCTAGCCCATTCTGATGGTGGACGGGGATCTAAATGTTTACTCCAGCACTATAGTGTGTGGAATACATGCTTGTATTTCTGACACTGTAGAGTTCCTTAAATTCAACCCACCCCAGATGTCACAGTCTAAAAATGATTAAATAACTTATACTGATATCACTTTTAACACTTTTATCTATGTAGCATTGCAAAGCTTATGGGACATTTGATTGAAGATGTGGATTATGTAGTGACAGTTTAGTAGAGCTGTGTTTGGGATTTTGGGAGTTGATCCTCTATCAAAATGTTACCTCACCACTAGTTTAAAAAAAAAAAAAAAAGTCACCCCTGCAGTGCAGTCAGAAATTAAAGACAAAATCTGGTAACCCACATAAGCCTGACAAATAAAAAGAATCATGTTTTACAATATATGGTTATCGACACTTGAAGTTTAAAAATAGATAGACTAAAAAATATCCACAATGCAGTTTTCCTTACCAGCTTAAAAATGTTATTTATGTATCAACAACCATTGAGATGAAGGCCGGTTTATGTGTAGGGTTTTCTTTTTACACAATAGTGTTTAAGTTCAATATTTCCTATCAATCTCCAGTAACAGAATAATCTTAAAGGTGGGTTAATGGATTATAATATTTAACATTATTTGCTGAAGCATTTAAAATATAGTAATTTGAATAAGATTTATTGTTATTTATTATATGTTTCATACAAATAAGTATGACTTTGTCAATTTTGGATAAAAAAAATACAGTCTTGACAGAGCCTTAAAATACCAAAACACTGTTAAGGTGTTAATACCAAAACACGGATACAAGGTTTTCAAAATGGTAGAACTAGTATTAGAATGCTACTCTTTTGTGAAAGGGACACTATATTCACCAGTATAACTACAGCTTAATGTAGTTGTTCTGGTGTGTATAGTATGTTAAAACAAAAGGCAGTGTTTAAATTACTGCCTAGGAACAGTACTCGACTGTCACTAGATCTGTTTCCTGGGTCAGTGCTGCAAAATGGAACAGTGTGGTGTTTTGTTGCGCATGTGCATTAGTCTTCCATTACTTTCCTATGGTAAAACATTGCATTGGCTGAGATGGTCAATTTTGATAATCTCAGCCAAGGAGGCGGAGCATGGGTGGAGACAGCTGCCACAGACCCACACCGTGCTGGAATAATGGTAAATTTTATTTCCTTTTTAACAGGAGCAAAGGGTGGCTACCTAAAATGTGTTTTTAACACTGCAGTGTCAGGAATACACATTTGTGTTATTGACACTATAGTGTTCCTTTAAGTAGTTCAATAAAATGGCAGGATCTGCCTGTATTACCAGGTATTATAGGGTTAAGCAACTGACAATTTGCTGCATGTAACATAATTTAAATGATATATAAATACATATATTTGAATAAGAATATTCATTGTATTGAAGTTTAACATAATAATGTAATATCTAGTGAATAAAACTGATATTTATTTCAATATTAGAAAATGGTGATTGCCTCTTTCGTTGCTCACTCATTTTGTTCTTTATGGTTCTCTGCAGCGATAACTCACTGATAATACATCCATTTCCTTTTGTGACCTACTGTTTATTTTTAAATAGATTTTTATGGGAAGCCACTACCTCCGCTGGCATTAAGGCAAAGACCCAACAGTGATGCACACGATCTTATATCTTAAAGTCACAGAATTGATATTCTCTTATTACATTGCACCAATGGAATTACCTGAACAGTATTTAATTTATAAAACCATAAAGCAAGTAGATTCATCATACTTATTTGTTTGGATTACTAGAAAAGCACATTTCTTAATGACCATTCTGGAAGATCAGAACAAATCCTGCCAACTGAAAAAGGTTCACTTCAGCTCTAGACCCGATTTTTAGAGGAGTTCAATTTTTAACCCAGTATTCTTACCACTATTTGTATTTTAGGTTTGTATCCTACAATTGGGTGGACACATTATGTATTTCTACAGATGTAAAGATACTTTTGTAATAACATGTAGGGGGTCAAACCTGCAGATTATTTTAACATTGTATATATGAAACTTTTTAAATGGGGTGATGGCACAAGAAGAGTCCTCACTTAGTGCGGTGTTGGTCCTCACGGTTCATAAAGAAATAACTGTATATTTTGTTTTCTTATTAGCATAGTGACTGTCTACAAAGCAGTTATTTACATGTAGAAATCATGATCCTTCTTGTTCAGAGGACAGTACATACTGACCAAATCTGTAGTCAGCTCTTTCCTTGCTCGTTATTGAATCCACAGTTACTCTAACAAAGTGAAATCTTTGAAGTTGTTTTTCCTTCTTCAATAAATATTTTTATTTGATAGAGATTACCAGCTTCTTGTAGGCATTTCCCTGTGTGGTGAAAATTCATAGCAAGAAGTATATTGGATATTTTTAATAAAGCACTATATCTCTGTCCTTCAGAAGTCTTTTCTATACCCTAAGAACAGGGTATATTCTGGAATTACAAAGGAAAATTGGGTTATGCACATGCTGGTAGTTACTTATAGTACTAAATATTTTTTAGCCATCTTTACAAAAATAAGGAAATGGGGATCCCGGGTGAAGAGTAAGGAAGGAAAAGCACAAAACCTGTGGTCAATCTGTTCTGCCTCTTCTGTTACTCTTTAGAATTACCCCATGCAAATAAGCCTTTTATACACAGTCACTATTTTAGGAAGAAACCAAAATTAATTTTTTAATATCCTTTTATTTTAGGCTATATTATTGCCTACAAATGCATTGTAAATAATAATTGTATATATTTTTTAACAAAATATTGCTAAGCCTAAAATATGTAATAAATTATATTGTGAAATGGCTTTGTGCAGTGTCTTTTTTTATTTTATTTATTTTTTTATAAATCTGTACAGGGTTTTTTTTTTTGTGTTATGGTGCATCCAATTTTATGTCTACCTGATTGGTTTTTATACGAAAATAAAACTTCCTTTCAATTTAGGCCTGATAAAGACCATTTACTGGTTGATCGTTGCTGTTGGTTTCTAGGTGTAATAAAAAGGATCTTATAAATTAAGGAGTACCGGACCTTTCTTATGCCTTGTGGTCTGAGTGCATGAGTAGAAAGCAGTGTTAGTTAATTGAACACTCCAAACACCATAACCACTAAAATTTGCTGATGTATTTATGGCACCCACCGATTGCAAGTAGTCAAACCATTTAAGAATGGTTTGACTTCTTACATGGAGTCTGCCAGACATCGCTCCCCGTCTACACTACACCCGTCAGCGAGCTAAAGCTTCTAAGCAGTGTGAGGCGGATCACTCTCAGCCAATCAGCTAAACATAGAATGTTACGGCAGATAAGAACCATTCGGCCCATCTAGTCTGCTCAATATTTCAAAATACTTTTAATTAGTCCCTGCCCTTATTTTAGGTCTAAGATAGCCTTATGCCTATCCCACACATGCTTAAACTCCCTCACTGTGTTAAACATGGCATAAACTAATAAAAGGTTAACTAGGGGGTTACTGAGAATATTTGTTTCTGCTCTCCTCCACCTACCACATACAGTTACAGGTAACCATGCCAGAGAGGTCCATATATAGATATTTATATATTTGTAATCACGATAGCCCACATATGGGATGAGAGAGAAGCAGCAATCTAGTCTATGCTCCAGCTTGCTTATTAAGGGATTCTATGATCTACTATGGGGGTTCCCTATGAAAATACTGAATTTCATCCAGATATCTCGTTATGTATTTTTCTCAGAATAATTTTGCCTTCAATTCCTACTGCATATATCAAAAAGCAATATGTGACTACATTTGTCTAAATTGCCAGGAACAAATGGGGGGGGGGAAAGCATGTACAAATGTATCAAATTAAATTTTTCATAGACTAAATGATTTCATGCAAGTGACTGTTAAAAAATGTTTGGGGGGCAATTAATCTAAAAGTAAAGAAGAAGGCTTGGGGACCTGGAATAATAGTTTTCAGATTTTGACTATAGTGCTCCTCTAAAGTGTGATCTAAAATGTGACTCTTTTCATAAATCCTTCAATTTTCAGAGGATCATCAAATTGAGAGTGGTGGAAAAAAGAGAGTTAATTTATATTAGAAAAAAAAAAGTGGTTGAAAGACTGAAATGCAGCATATTAATAAACATGACATATTTAGTAAATTGAAGAAAAAAAATTCAATGGAAAATTAGAAGCAAAAGTTTAGGTGACCCTTTAATATTTCTTCCCCATTTTATCACATGTAGCATGACTTCCTTCCTCCTTTGAGCAACCAGTATTCAGTAGATAAGCAAAGAGTCATTGCCACTTTCTCCATAAAACACATGAACTCTGTGACCTCCTGTGTAATGACCATATTCTTTAAAGGGTTACTCTAAGCACCATCACCACCTGGTCATTGTGCCAATTTATGGCACCTGCTCTGGCTTCTGCAGCACTCTGGAAACCAAAAGTGAGTCACTGAGGAGGAGAGGAATCTCTGCCCGGCTGGAATTACCCAGTTAAGAGGGCAAACCATTATTAAATGGTTTGACCTATTACACGGGAGTCAGACCAGGGTACTCCTAGCACCATATCCACTACAGCGTACTGTAGTGGTCATGATGCTTAGAGTAAGCCTTTCAGGTCTGTTCCAAAATAGCCAAGCTGTGACATTTTAGCATTAGATTTTGCAGTCTGGACTCAATGTGCTAAATTTCAGACTTTAGTGAATCAAGAAGAAAAAAAAAAAAAAAATCTGTACTGTGTATATATTTACTTGTATCCCCTTTATTATCCTTATTAAGAGGTATACATGTTTGATTTGACTTTTTTTGTCTGTAATTTTTTTTTTTTCTCTCCAGTATAAATTATTTCTGCTTTTCAAAACTAGGATTGTTGAACTAGGAACCGTTGATAATTGGATTTGCGAGATCCATCATGCTTTCCTTATCACATCTCACATACATGCAGGGATGTATTTACCACAAGGCAAACAAGGCATTTGCCTAGGGCGGCACTTTCAGGGGTGGCGCCAAAAAATTGCACCCCAAGCTCCCAGGCAAATGCCTTGTTTGCCTTGTGTTCTGGGGCTGTCCACCTTACTGTGAGTGAGTGAGTGTAGCTGTCAGTGTGTGTCTGTGAGTGAGAATGTGTGTGACAGTGTGTGTATGTCATTTTATGTGTATCTGAGAGTGTGTGCCTGTCAGTGAGTGGGTGTGTCAGTGTGTGCCTGTCAGTGAAAGTGTGTGTTGGTTAAACAGTGTGTGCCAATGACTGTGTATCTGTCAGTGAATGCATGTATCAATGAGGGCATGTGTCTGTCAGTCCAAAAAATGGCCTTGACACGAATTGGGGGGACAAATTTAGATTTTGGGGGTGCCCGAATTTAGTCGTGCCTAGGGCAGCACAAATCCAAAATACACCACTGCATACATGTTAATAGTAACTACCAAAAATCGATTGAAATCCTTGACATACGATGTACTCTGTAAATCAGGACAAATTAATTTTATTTAGAATTCGTTTTTTTTTTTTTTTTTTTAATATGCACTAATTTTGTGCACAATATTATTGCCAAAACTGTGAAAAAAATATTTAAAGAATTTATAAGTGCAAAAATATAAATAAAATTTTATGTCACATCAAATTAAAGCTCCTATTGTCCTTTAAAACAGCATATAATTTGTGCTGGTGTAAAAAATATGTTAAAGGACCACTATAGTGCCAGGAAAACATACTCGTGCCCCCACCCTCAGGGCCCCCCTCCTGCCGGGCTCTAGGGGGTGGAAGGGGTTAAATTTACCTCTTTTTCCAGCCCTGGGCGGGGGACTCTCCTCCTTCTCGTCGGCATCGGCTGAACCGCGCGTGCAATCAGCCAGTGAGAAGCGGCTGTGAAAATCAGCCAGTGAGCCAGTGAGAAGCGGCTGTCAATGAGACAGCCACTAGAGGCTGGATTAACCATATTATAAACATAGCAGTTTCTCTGAAACTGCTATGTTTATAGAAGAAAGGGTTAATCCTAGCTGGACCTGGCACCCAGACTACTTCATTAAGTTGAAGTGGTCTGGGTGCCTATAGTGGTCCTTTAATTGTTGTTGAACACACACAGCAAAAACGCAAAAATTGCATTGGTCCTTAAAATGGAACTGTCACATTTGGGGATCTTTGCATATTTTACATAGAATCCCAAAGGTGACAGAACTGGTGTGGGTCCGGGTGGCCATGGAGTGCAGGGGAAGGTAAGTTTTACTCACCTCAAGCCAAGTCAGTGCTGTACTATGCGCAAAAGTGCAACACTGAAGTCTAAGGAGGATCCCGTGATATCGCAGGATGCACCATAGACGGAGCCTGAATCCCACAGTCATCATTTGTGACGGCTTCTGGGACTGGACAAAAGAGAACGTCAGAACTCTGCATTTTGGCAACTTTTGTCAATCTCAAGCTTGCCCATAAAATCTTGTGGAATCTTTGGAAGGCGTTGGAATTTCAATGAAATTCTAAGACATTCTTTATCAGTGTTTCATAAAGAGTATACTGAAGAGTGACGGATCCACATTAAGTACAAAACAAGCAAACTGAATCTTGGTCCTTAAAGGAACCCTATAGCATTAGGAATACAAAACTGTATTCCCAACTTTATCACGTCCCACTGCCTCTGTGGCTCCCCACCGATTAAAGGGTTAAAAACTGTGCCACCCCCGAGTGACGTCAGGCCCATGGGGAAAAGCTAATGTGCATGAGCAGAAAGTGCGGCACGCATCAGATCTTCCCCGTAGAAAACTACTGAATCAATGATTCTTTATGGGGATTTTGAAGACGTTGCTTTACAGAGTTAAATTCCATGAAAAAGCAGGTGTCTGAAAGTCAGGCAATGCTATGGGGACAGGGGCACTGTGCCCACAGATTAAGGTGTCTGGGTGCCTATAGAGTCCCTTTAAGGGGTTACTGTAATACAAAATTACACCCAAATCTTTGCCTATCACCATAGTGACCTGTTCTAGAGTCACCTCCCTGCAATCTAATCATTTCCCTAGCCAGTGATTCCATGAAACCAATCACAAGGTGTTTTAAGACCCTCTGTTGCGCCATGTGAGCTCTATCTTTCCATGTACAGCACAATGATCCCTAGCAAATAAAATAAATAAAACCATAATAAGGTATCAGGATATGGGGCTAATCCAAGGTCATTCTGGAACTCAAGAGGTTAAGGAGCCAGGCGAGAATGTTAACCCTATCATTGCCTTCAATGAAAAAAGGCTCCCACACAGAGAGAGAGACTCTGACTGAGTCACGTGGTGAAGCGCAGCCAATGAGCGCGAAGGACCAATGCTGTACGCTAGGAGCGGCTGGGGCGGTTGCCATGACGATCTCCGTCACCCGGAAGTGTTTGTGTTGCATTGCACGTTGCCTATGGATGCTGCCATTTTTTTTTATTATTTATCTGTTAGTGCACAGTAGGTCGTCCCATGCTTGCTACAGAGCTGTGGGTGAGTAAGCATGCATGCAACCGTTATTCCTTACTCTAATCATTTTATTAAAAGATTGAATTTATTAAAATGACCTGACACTGAATTAATAGCAAACTGTCTGTATGAGTGTAATAAAGGTCATATATCCGGACATATATGGAGAAACACAAAACAACAATATTCTGTGTGTTTGTCTCATGTGTGTTTCTTGCTGTTTAACCCAGTACTCCCCCCCACAAAACAACAATCTTCATCTTAATGAGGTGGTCTGGGTGCCTGGTCCATCTAGGGTTAACCCTTTTTTCTATAAACATAGCAGTTTGAGAGAAACTGCTATGTTATTGTTAATCCAGCCTCTAGTGGCTGTCTCATTGACAGCTGCTAAAGGGCTTCTGTGTTTCTCACTGTGAAAATCACAGTGAGAAGATGCCAGCGTCCATAGGAAAGCATTGTGAATGCTTTCCTATGGACTGGTTGAATGCGCGTGCGGCTCCTGCTGCACATTCAGCCGGAGAGGAGGAGCAGAGCTCCCAGCCCGGCGCTGGAGAAAGAGGTAAGTTTAACCCCTTCCTCCCCCTAGAGCCCGGCGGGAGGGGGACCCTAACGAGTATGTCTTCCTGGCACTATAGTGGTCCTTTAAATACGCGTTAGGTCTCCTCCTCCTGAGCCAGCGCCGAGGAACATCGGCACTGGATTTAGGTACTTCACTGAAGGGGTTTTAACCCCTTCAGCAATATGGGAGGGAGGGAGAGGGGCACTGCATGAACCTGCAGTATCAGGAAAACGGATATGTTTTCCTGGCACTGGAGAGTCCCTTTAATACTGGCTTCCTATTTCGGGGAGGAGTGAATGGGAAAGGGAATTATTTTTCTATTAGAAATTGTGCTGGTTATTCACAAATTCTAATTTTATGCCCATTGAAATATGTATCTTTTAAAACTTCAAATAAAAAACAAACTTCAAAGTGGCTCTGTTACCTTGTGAGGTATTTGCATATTTTGGCAGTGGTGGTCTGGGGGTGCAGCAGAGGTGAGTAACTAATAAACTTGATGATGTTCCCTGTGGTGCCACCCTCAATATTTAGCTCCTACTGCGTTTTCCTCCAGGAGCCAGGGAAATGTCCCCAAAAACATGACTGCATCAATAGATGTGCTTGCGCTATGTTCAGGCCACTAGGAACTTGCAGATTGCACTGAAAAGCGTGAGATAATGCCTTATTCCCACAGCCAACTCTAGCGATGTTTGGGGGAAGTAACACAACTTAGGTCTGCCTCTTTTCATGTTATGCTTTTACCATAAGACAAATTATTTTGTCTTAAGATATCTTTTGTCTTACTGAGCATTTTTGAAAAAACTTAATGAAATGCTCACATTTTTTGGTGACTGCTTCTTTAAAAGTCACAAAGCACATACGCTTATGGTATATGCATAACCTTTGTAATGACAACAGTGGACATTAGCAGGAGAAGAGAATTTGCAGGTTGTTTTATATTTGTGATTTACTTGTGTGTAGTGTTTGAATGTAGGGATGTGTCTGTATGTAGTGTTGATATTTGAATGCTGAGATGTATGCACAGATATACAAATTGACGCACATCCAGATATACACAGGTGCACCCACTGACACACATCCAGATACACACTGACATATATAGAGATTCACAGACGCACAGATTTACAAATGCAGATACATAGACACACACTGACGCACATTAAGATACAGTCATACAGATAAACAGAATGACACTCATACAGATGCACAGATACACTGGGGCACACACTGACACACATGCAGATATTTTGACACACAGAATGACGCACATTCAGATACACAGAATGACACTCCTACAGGTACAAAGACACATACAGTTAGACAGGGGCACACCCTGACACACATGCAGATACACAGTTACTCATGCAGGCACACATGCATATACACAGACACACAGATATACCCACATGCAGATAGAAAGATAGACACTCACACAGATACACATGCATAAAGGACATGCATCAATCGGGTGGCCCTAACTGCTCGGGCCACCCAATTGGCTCCCTTAGCGTGTGGGTCCCGGTGCAGCTGGTAGTTCTGCTGCTGAATCAAATATAAGCACTGATCCATGATAAACCTTTGAGTTAAGTCAGTTTGGTATTTTTTTCCATTTAGTCCAATAACATTCATGTGTTTTCGCAGTGTTCAACAAATATATAGCTGCTTATAATATAAATTGTGGAAGCAAAATTTATTTTTATTTTTATTCTGTTACAATGCCACACAGGGAGAAATAGATGGGAAGACTACAGAAGCAAGTTTGCCAATTAGTGCTTAATTACTTTGAGAAAATATATACAAAAGAACTGGGAAAAACTTGGACCAGTGTCAGGTACGATTAATGTGTAACTGTCAATGTAGTCATTACACAAATACATATTCAATAAGCACTGGATATTTGGCAGCAAGGCCACAATCAGTTTTGGGATCAACTTAGCGTCTTTTTTCCTACATCTCTTCTTCTAAAGATGTCTGTCAAAAATACAGATTCCCCAAAGTAGAACTTCCCTCTTCTACTTGAGGCAGGGTTGACGGCACTGGACTGAAGACTTTGTTTAACGGTTTAACCCCTGGAGATAAAAGAGCATGGGACTTTCTTGCACCATAACATGTCATTCCGGCAAAGTTTTTACGGTGCTTGATTGTCCCTTTAATGCTTCCATTGGCTTTCTGTGTCGTCCATGACTTAATATAAAATTCAGATTATTCCTTACAAAGGTTTTCAGAAGTGTACACATTCCTCCAGATCATTTGTAATTAGAAAGTACACTCACATCCATGCCCTCATCACTGTTACCTGTTCTCTTTTTACACTCTCCATTCTCGTGCACAAGCCTTTTTTTTTCTGGATGATAAATATGTGCCCATGGTGTGATAGACTGACAAGGAACAAATGCATTTTACCTTTACATTGCTTTTGAAGCTGGGCAGTGCACTTCTTGGGTAGCTATGTGCTGTAGCAGCGTCAGAATACCCTACCCTGTACTGCAAATGTGTCCTGCACAACTGGTGTTGGCGCATGCGCACTACCTCATCAGTGAAGTCATGTGCATATGCCCCCAGACAGGTCCCCTCTGGTGCATGCGCACAATCAACATAACATAATCTTAGCATATGCTGTAAAAACACACACACCTCCCTGTAAGGATCCCATACCCCACTCTTGGTGGGGTACAGGCATCCTACATGGGTAAGCTGACATCCAGCTGTTTCAGCCTCACTTCCGGTGCGGCCATGTCACCCGATGTGACGAGGGTAGGGAATTTGATAGAATAAACAATAGCAACAACAACACTGTGACTTGAATTCAAAATTCCTACAATACCAATGGCCTTTACGTTGTTTCTTCTCAGGTTCAAGTCAGAACTACGCTGTGTGATGCATATAAAATACTTTTTATTCTAACAAATTAAAATACAGACAAGAATAATGATAGAATTGTTGTACAGGCTGAGCGTGTTTCCCAATCTATGGACACTTTCTTAACAACATCCTGGATCGCCTACTCATAACTACCAACCCCAGAGCAAAGCTTACAGACACCAGCTTGCTGCTCAATGCACAGGTACTTCGAGGATCATTCTGAAATTGTGAAATATTGTAAACCCTGTAAGTCTGCAAAAAAGAGCTTAAGAACAGGGGTCTGCATAAATCTGAAGACTAAAAACAGTATACACCCCTTGTTCCATTGTCATCTTCTCAAGGAGAGAGATGTTTAGGTCAGACTGCAACTGGTAAACTTAGGGGTCATCTTTGCATAGGTGCTGTTTTACTGGCTTTAAATGGAAAACACGATAAACCTTGGCCAACTTTTGCAGCTAGAGCATAAAATAAAACCTTGTGGCATGATTGTGCCTAGATAGGGCACATGAGATATATATATATATATATATATATATATATATATATATAAACACTGGGGTTGTATGGCAAAGTGGCTTCTAGCATGAATTTGCCATCTGGGCAGCGTAGGATCAGCGTACCATAACTAATCAACCCATATCTATAGGCATAGCAAGAATATGGGAAGAAAAGAAAAGGCGTGTTTACTGATTGGCATTTAAGGAATATTTATCTTCAAATCAGATTATTGTGCAATAAACCTTTCTCACTAAACTTGTAAGTGACAAACTATATAAAGAATATATTGTTTGTATATGTTTAATGTCTACGTCTTACAAAAGTTATTACGGTACCAAAACAGACCTAGTTCTGTCAAATTGCTATCTAACAGTCATTTACCTTAGTAGCTGGAAACGGAAAAAGATCAAATATTTTGTGCACTGAAATCTTTTATTTATTATCTTTAGGGAAATTCTTACGACTCCTGAAATCTGGCAATATGCTGTCATGCTGAACAATTTTGCATCCCCCTGGGAACTAGAGAAACAGCTACACTTCAAGGGCTATCGCTTACTGTTTAAAAAAGTCTTATCACAGCGCACAGAGGCATTAAAGTGTTACGTTAATAAAAACCCTGGCAAATTTCCTTCTCAGCGGCATCAGACTGGCAAACTTAAAGATTATTACATATTAAACGCCTCTTCGCTCCTTCCTGTGTTGGCCCTAGATGTCAAAGATGGGGAAAGGGTGCTAGATATGTGTGCTGCCCCTGGAGGGAAGTCCGTAGCACTTCTGCAGTCTGCATTACCAGGTAACATGCTCTAACATGTCATTATATACAGTGAGGGGAAAAAGTATTTGATCCTCTGCTGATTTTGAACATTTGTCCACTGACAGAAATGAGCAGTGTATAATTTAAAAAGTTATAAATTGTTTTGCATGTCAATGAGTGAAATAAATATTTGATCCCCTATCAATCAGCTAATTTCTGGCTCCCAGATGTCTCTTATACAGGTAACGAGCTGAGATTGGGATCACTATCTTAAAGGGAGTGGTCCTAATCTCAGCTCGTTACCTGTATAAAGATTCCAAACTCTCCACCATGGCCAAGACCAAAGGGATGTCAGGGACAAGATTTTAGACCTACACAAGGCTGGAATGGGCTACAAGACCATCGCCAATCAGCTTGGTAACAAGGTGACAACAGTTGGTGCGATTATTCGCAAATGGAAGAAACACAAAATAACTGTCAGTCTCCCTCGGTCTAGCGCTCCATGCGCCTCGTGAAGTTTCAATGATCAACGGTAAGAAATCAGCCCACAACTAAACAGGAGGACAGGGTCGCCATTAGGGGGGTGACAACCATCACGTGGAGCGGTGAAACTGCTGCAGGTGTATCTGCACCGGGGTCCATCAGGTGGCCCAAGCATTTAGGGCCACCCGATGAGCCCTATATCTTCAGGGGCCCAGTCAGCGCTGCAGCCATGTAATAGCGAGACCGTGCCCCTTTTAAAAAAATTGTGGTTGCACCGCAAGTGCTGCTGGGAGGAAGTGACGGCCGGCCACTTCCTCCCAACTTACTCCGTGCGGGGGGAGAGACAGCCGAGGAGAGGAGAGGCATCCGCTCCCATCATTCCCAGCCACCCTCCTGCAATGAAAAGGTAACGAAGAGGAGGATGGCTGAAACATGAGGTGTGTTTATATATGTATGCGTCTGCATGTATGTATGTCTGTTTGTCAGTGTGTATGTGTGTGTGTATGTGTATCTATCTATGTATGTATATATGTCAGTATGCGTGTGTGTCAGTATGTATGTATGTGTATATATAATCTATCTGTGTGCGTGTATGTCTGTATGTATATATATATCTATCTGTGTGTGTGTATGCATGTATGTCTGTATGTTTGTGTATGTATGCCATTATGTATGTCAGTATGTATGTGTCTGTATGTCAGTTTGTATGTATATCTGTCAGTATGCATGTCTGTATGTGTGTGTCAGTATGTGAGTATGTATGTACGTCAGTGTGTGTGTCAGTACTAAGTCAAAGGGGTCAAATACTTATTTCACTCATTGACATGCAATCAATTTATAACTTTTTTGACATGCATTTTTCTGGATTTTTGTTATTCTGTCTCTCACTGTTAAAATACACCTACCATTAGAATTATAGACTGATCATTTCTTTGTCCGTGGGCAACCGTTCAAAATCAGCAGGGGATCAAATACTTTTTTCCCTCACAGTATGGTGAACCACATCAGACATAATATTACTCTCTAGCTCAGGGTTTTCCAAATACTGACTCTCCAAATGTTGCTGAACTTCAACTCCCATGATTCTTTGCATGAAATAGCCATGGGAGTTGTAGTTCAGGAACATCTGGAGGGCCAGAGTTTGGAGAACCCTGCTCTAGATAAACATGATAATGCAAATTAAAAAGCGTAACTTGTAGATATTTTCTGTGTTTTATTTCTTTCTTGCTCTTATTACCGGTATTTGTACTGTTGCAGCAAGGCTACTTATATTCTAAACGTACTGTTTCAGCTGCAACCAGATCATGCTGCCTCCATTATACAGGAAAGGCTAAGTCTAACATGAAGGGAAATGCCGAATGCCCTCTGACATACCATAGAGCCACCAAAATGCTTTATTGGGACAGATCCAAAATATATATACTGCAGAGAACCCTTCAGTATTATGTTTAAGGAAGTCTTCTCTTCTTATCTATGGGGAAATGGGTTTAGGAAGAGACTACTTTTGTTTTTTAATATTATTAAATTTTTAATGTGGGTGTACTTCCTTGGGAGAAGATCCCTTTATTGCTATTATTGCTATTGCTTATTGCTATGGTTTTGAGAAATTGTCATGTTTGGCATGAAATTTGGATTAGATTGCTTACGGACACCCTGATCTATTGTAATAATAAATTGCACACATCAAAAGCACGGTGAGATAAGGGTGAAAGTGTTATGAGTTCCTTTGTTGATCCAAAGAGAAATCTTACCGTAAAAATGGAGTAGAAGGATTTTTTGACAAAAGTGGAAATCTCTTCAATGTTTTTTGCCTTCTTTTGGATCTACATCAATAATACAGGTATTTGAAAGACTAAACTTGATAGTTCATCGGTTACAGTGGTTATCAGGATACAAGTTCATTATTTATGCTGACTAATGACTTGTAAATCGTTCCTGGCTCACATTTTTTGCAATTTGTATTTTCTATTTATTATTTTTATACATTTTTCATTTATCCATTTTTTAATAATAAATATACAATTTGATTCTATTTTACAGTGGCCTTTTGGAATTTTTATTCATATTTATCTTTTATAATAAGAGATTTAGCTAATTCTATATCTTTGTGGTGTAAATTATATATTGCCCATTTGCACCATTTAGTGTGCGACTATATGATTTAAAGATATATACACTACAATAATTTGTACATTCTAACTCTATACAGATTACATTTTTTGTTGTTGTTACTCTGTAATTATTTAGCTGCTTTATATTTAAGCAGAGTATTTGGTGTGTAACAGATAAAATCTGCCTCTAGCAGATTTAAAGGTATACACACCATACATATTTTCTCCACCACCATTGGTTATTTTAGATACAGATATAATTATTATACTACCAACTAAAGCCATATTACAGTGAACCAGTTCCTGAACACACTACCCTGAAGGTACTACTGTCTCTTATCCTTTTGGACAGGTTTGGGTGTATCCCTGTCCTGGTTCAGTATTGAGCTATTCACTTCGAGTCGGACTCCCTCATCCCTGTGTATTGCACTAGGCAGACCAGATTTAAATTATAAACTTGATAGACTTGAGTATTGTTCCATCTCTACGTAACCATCTCTTTAAAGAAACACTATAGTGTTAGGAATACAAAACTCCCCACCCCCTGTCAAAAAAGGATAAAAAAAAAAATATATGTTTATTTTTACTTACCTCTGTGCTGGATCGGGTTTCTTCTCCCGCAATATCATGGAGATGGGGAAACCTAATGGTGGCGAGTGCCTGTGCGCATTAAGCCCTCTGCATAAGAGAGCATTGAATCAGTGCAAAGCATGAGGACGTCCAGCTTCAGTTCGCAGAGTTAAACCCTGTGAAAATGCAGAAAGCACCTCTAGTGGCTGTCTTGAAGCAGTCTTAAACATTGCAGTTTTTCAAAAACTACAATGTTGTACAGTTTAGGGTTAGGGGAAAAGTTCGCTGCACCCAGACAAAGAGGAACACATCAATGCTTGATTAGATTTTAGGTGACTTACTAATAATGTAACTTAAAACAATGTATCTTATTTACTCAGACTGAGTTCTGGGAATGTGTAGCTTTTACAAAGACTATAACAGTCAAGCAGAGATATCATTACTCTTAAATATTGGAGAGCTGTTTTTGTGTATCTTATCCCTGAGGCTATAAGGCTGTCTTGTCTGTGCAACTGTCGATGGTGCAGATCCATTCCAGATATAAGCTTTAAGGCAATCTTGTCTGTGCAACTCTCACTAATCTAGTCCCATCCCAGATAATTTTGTGTCATATTGCCAAGCTTGAACATCTGCAGCACAGGATTAATTTAAACAATGTGTATGCATTTTAACAAGCATTTATATAGCCTGCATGTGAACTACACACCCTACCTACACATTTCCTGTAAAGAAAGACCTCATGTTTAAACTTCCTTTATTGCACAGTGTGTTCAATTTAGAATGTTGTATCTCCTGTTATGTTAAAAGCCTGCTAGAGTCTCCAGGAGCCTCCTGTGTGATTAAAGTTCAGATTAACAAAGCCAGAGTTAAGAATGTCTAGAATAAGCACACTGTGTTGTAAGATCTGGTTCATCTGATATTACAGAACTTCTCATATGTAAAACTAATTTGAAAATGTATTATTCTAAATAGGGAATCTTTATCTGGTTGCAAATAATAAAGATTATAACAATCAGCAAAATCACGATTTAAATCGAGTCTTGGCTGACTAGTGATTTAAATCATGATATCAATTGACTTAATTTAAATCAAATCTACCCTAACCACTACAGTTTATTGTAGTGGTTCTGGGATATATAGCCTGTTCGTGGAGGCTGAGCATTGTAAACACTGCCTTTTCATAGAAAGGTAAGTCAGTTTTGATAAATTTACTTACTTCATTTAGATGCGTGGCAATAATCTAACACTATAGACTTGTTTGTGTTCCTAATGCCATAGTGTTCCTTTAAAGGGACACTATAGGCACCCAGACCACTTCAACTCATTGAAGTGGTCAGAGTGCAATGTCCCATGTTCCTTAACCCTACAGTCATAATTAACTGCAATAATTACCTCTCAGGGTTAACTCCATTTCTAGAGGCTGTCTGCCAGACAGCCACTAGAGGGACTTCCGGGTGCTTAGAAGACGTTTGGTCGTCTAAACGACGCTGGACATCCTAACGCTATGCATGAGGACTTCCAGCATCACTGGAATCCTTGGCCATTGCAGCGCATGTGCATTAGGTCTTCCCTGCTGGAAGACGGCGAGCGAGGAGAGTGGTTGAAGCCTGACCCAGGGAGGAGAGAGACATCAGCGCTGGATTCAGGTAAGTGACTGAAGGGGTTTTGACCCCTTCAGCACTGCGGCAGGGGGATGCGAGGAGGGGGGCACTTTAGGAACCTGTAGTGCCAGGAAAACCGCTTTGTTTCCCAGGCACTATAGAATCCCTTTAACTTCTAAATGGCAGGTAATTGAGCTGTGAAAGGGCAGGGGCATGACTTAGACACCAAAACCACTTAATTAAACTAAAGTTGTTTTGGTGCTTCGATTATCCCTCTCATATATAGTATTATTATTTTTTTCCTTCCTTAGTGTCACAGAGATGGGAGAAAAATCCATGTTATCTCCAGTGCTTTGTATGATTTTATAAAAAATGCTATTTTTGTGAGTTGATAGTGCTGTCATTCACACACAGGAGAAACAATAGTGCTTATCTAGCTGCCAAGATCAAGTCACTTGTCAGAATCATTGCTCTCATAGTCTTCTGATAACTGCTTGTGAAGAGCTCCTTTCCAGCTATGATTAATGCCACATTGTGTCAGAGCAGAACTGCTTAGTAGGATATTACTGTGAAATGAGCTAGAAGAGATATAACCACTTCCCTGAGCATCAGGAATCAGCATTTTCCTTTTCACATCATCTTCTGTTTTTATAAGCATTTTTTTTTCGTGCTGTTCGTTCACATATCTGCATACTAGTTTGTTCCAGTTGTAGGAGCTTCGAGAGAGAATAAGCAGAACTAATAGTGTATAGGGTGGCGTTTGGATGTGGCGTGAGATGAATAAGAAGAACGATGTGAAGTTGTATGTGAATTTACATTTGAAAATAGAACATCGGTAGATTATAGAAAATAGAACGCCAGTAGATTAAAAGGCAGGGGTGTAATAATGCTGTTTTATAAGAATTGATAAATCTGAAAAGTAAATGTTTTATGTTGAAAAGACAAGCATATAAAGAGAATGAAAAGTGAACCATTGTGACCAGGCTGGATGAGGAGGACAAAAGTGGACAGAGAAATGTGAGGTATGATGGAGTCTGTATTACACTTGTAGGTACCCAGACAACTTCAGCTCAGTGAAGTGGTCTGGGTGCACTGTCCCAGCACCCTTAAACCTGCAAAGCTAATTATTGCAGTAATTAGCTTGCTTGGTTAACTCCACCTCTACTGGCTGTCTACCAGACAGCCACTAGAGGGACTTCCAAGCTGTTAGACGACTTTTGGTCGCCTAACTGACACTTAACGTCCTCGCGTTATGCATGGCGATGTCCAGCATCACCCGAATCCCCATAGGAAGCATAGTATAATGCTTTCCTATGGCAAAATCCTAATGCGAACGTGGCCATTGCCACGCATGCGCATTAGGTCTCATTAGGAGCAAAGGCGGACCCAAGCCAGCACTGAGGGCAATCGGCACTGGGCTGAGGTACGTGACAGAATGGGTTTTTAACCCTTCAACTTTGTGTTCCTGATTTTTAAAGTAGGCTACTAAATTTGATGACCTATTGTCATGACTTTCACTGGCCATTGAATGGTAAATGATCTTTAAAACAACTCATGCAATATATTTAAAAATGCGTCATTGAAATTTTTTTATATTTAAATGTTTATTTTATTTTCCTTAGGTTGTCTTCATTGCAATGAACCAGAAAGTCATAGATCAAGAAGACTGAAACAGACATTGGAATCTTTCGTTCCAAAAACTCACATGAATATTATCTCTAATTTTGGATTGGATGGAAGGTTAATAGGAGAACATTGCCCTCAGATGTATCATAAGGTTTGTTTTTATAGTTGAATGACTGGATATTTTTCAAAATGATGGGGCTGCAAATATAGATTGATCAGATAATGTAATAACATTAGGTTTAAGCAGAAGGTCGCTTTCCAGTTGTGATAGAACTACAAGTTCCATAATGCTCAACATCTGTCAGAACTGAAAATAGCGTGTCTGCTTAAGCGTCATAGAAACTGATCTTCCAAAACCAACTGAGGGCTGTGGGGGAGATTTATCTAAAAAGCGTTCTGTTCCATTCTAAATGTGATCTAAAGTATTAAAAAGGGGCAATCACAAGGGAAACCAGTGGATCCAGCTGTCATTTTCCATTGGTGACTGCTAATTTTTGGAATACTCAAATAATTCAATCTTGAAGCCCTGTGTTATTCAATTTAAGAATTATTTTGGATCAATGCCCAAGAGATCTTACTTCTTCCAAATCTGGGCTCAGTCTTACAAAGGGCAGGAACACCCATAAAGTATGCAGTGTCAAATACACAACAATCATAAGTAGCTTAAAGTTCCAGGTATATTTGTAGCACCTTTCTTCAATATCTGCTTCATTCTAGCAGATTTGGTTTGGTGGAAGTTAAATAAATTCTAAAGTCATCATGTATAGGACAGTGATGGACATCATCAATACCTGGTGGGTTACCATTTAGCTAAATCATATACCTAATCCATAAATAAGCAATCCGACTGAAAGCACTGAATATTGGGTGGTGAACACCTAAATGAGAAATAAGTTGTATTAATTATGTTTAAATGAAATAATACAATGTAAGGGTTATGTTTTTGTGAACATATTTGTTTGAGTAACAGGGAAATCAGCAACAAACATGTGGGTTAAATATCTCAATTATTCTGTTTTAGGTGTTAGTAGATGCCCCTTGTTCTAATGATAGAAGCTGGCTCTTTTCTTCAGACATTGAGCAAGCCGCGACAAGGATATCTCAAAGAAAGATGCTTCCCGCAATACAGACGGAGTTACTCAGGTATGTGCAGAAGTAAAACAAAAACTGAAAAGGAGCTTTGTCAAAATATTGATTTACATTGGTTTATTGATTTTTTTTTTTTTTTTTTTTTACCCCATCATCTATTTAAATATGCGTTTATATAAAGGTGCAGTTGTGTCTTGTCCCCTTACATCAATCTTCAAGTTATTTATTACACATTTATTCTTTGCTGCTGCTGCTTTTTTATTTCAGACATTACCAGCCTCTTATATTCTTTCCTACTTTGCATCTCAGGCTTGGTATATTAGTCATCATCAATGTTTTCTCTCTCCTCTTTTTCCTATTAAATGACTTTAATTTATAGAAAAAACATTATTATTAATTAACAAAAAAAAAAAAAAGCTAAAACATGAAATAGCCATACACAACATTCATACATGATGATGAAACCCTCTTCTCTAGTCTCTCTGCATTGCTATTCATAGTACTAATATATGAGCTAGCATTTCTCTTTTCTTTTCTCTTTTCTTTCCTTTTCTTTCCCTTTCTTTTCCCTTTTCCTTTCCTTTCCCTTTCTTTTCTCTCTTCCTTTCTTTCTTCCCTTCCTCTTCTATGTATATTAGTCTACTGCCAACAGTTTTTCTAGCCACGTATTTATGTGAAATAGATTTTTTTTCTTCAAATTTCTGTTCAGACCTCCCTCCATCCTAAGTTGCGAAATTAGTAGGTTTTTTACTATATCCCAATTTGGTAGAGTTTTGGTCCTCCACCTTTTAGCTATGGAGATCTTTGCTGCTATTAATGCATGAGAAAGAAAATATTGCAAATCTACATTATACTGATAAATATTTAAGTGTAATATCCACATTTCCGGGGCAAGGGGAAAATTAAATCCGGTTACCATTTCTATTTTAGACAAGAACATTTTCCAAAATTCTTTAAGTGGGGGGGCAACTCCACCAAATATGTAGACAATCTCTCACTCCCCCTTCACATCTCCAGCATATATCTGTTTTACTCTGGTCTATTTTATTTAGACAGCTAGGAACCAAAAAGAGTCTGTTAATAATCTTAAAATGTAGTTCCACTAAATTTAGGCATTAAATGCGCCTAGCAACTGTCAGCCATGCTCTATTCCAATCTTGGCCATCGATTTTTTTTTTTTAGATCTTTCTCCCATTTTTTTTATCGCTGGAAACGTCAAGTCACCCTCTAGTTGTCTCAATACCAAATTACACTTATTTAATACATTTTTCATGTCCTTTCCTTTCAGTAAATTTCCTAATTTATTATTAAATTCCCATTTCTCTTTATTTAAAGTTTTATTCAGATAGCTTTTAATCCTCATGTAATTAAATTTCTCCGTTTCGGGGAGACTAAAATTAGTACATATTTGTTCAAACGAATTAACCCAGGGTCCTGTTGTTATATCTTCTATAGTTTATATACCTGCTCTTCTCCAATTATTTAGTCTTAGGTCTTGCGTGTTGTTTTCTTTGCTGCTACTTCTAGAGAATCTGGAGTTGTTGTTCCAGCTGTAACTGACAACTTGTTATAGACCGACTGGGTTCTACTTTAGATATGGTCAATGACCATAAAGAAACCAGCTGTTGTTTCGCTGGGTATAGAATCTTTAAAGCCTTGTTTTTCCTCCTGCTTTTACTGCTCATCCTGTCATCACTGATATTTTGTCAGAGATGCTGTAGTAGCCTTATCTGGGCAGATTGCAGCTCAGGACCATGCACCAGCCCACTATTGTTTTGATTGTCTAATAGAGAGTAAATGGTCTAGCCTCTGTCAGCACTGAGATCGCTTACACTGCTCTGTTTTGATTGAACGCAACAGAGTGAATCGGAGCATCTTATCCTGTGGTGAGAATGCAAGGGTACTGCGTATGTGTACAAAGACACAGGCTATTTTCTTCCTTCGCATATTTGTACAATGATGATTCCTCACAGGACCATATAACCAGTTATAGAAAATTTGTGATGACATCCAAAAGTACAGGGGGCCAGTCGAGGTTTTAGATGAACGCGGCGCCTGACCGGACCCCTGTTTAGCGATACCCATCAGGTGACCCTAAATGCTTGGGCCACCCGACGGGCAAATCGCCGGGGAACCCCAATTTTGGGTTACGCGGAACACTAATTGGGGAAACGCTGCTTTATAGCATCGACTATTGCTGTGCAATGTAAAGGCAAGGATGTATCAGAGAATAAAGCTTTTATTGACAAATAAGTTATATAAATAAAAGTATTCTGCTTTGAAGAAGTAATATTTGAGTCCCTTTTTTTTTTGAGGGAGCGTAATTACATAAATTGGTAGAACCGTGTTTTTTTTGTTGGGCAATCTCCATAGTTCGAGTAGGGGACAGTGTTAAAGAATGGCTATTCTTAGGTCCATTCATTGTTATCTTTAAAACAATAATAAAAAAAATAAAATAAATTTGACCAATAATCAGTTCAACATATTTTATTTTGGGGTTTGCAGACAATATGTTCCTTGCCGCCTAGTAAGTTCAAAGCGATAAACGTGGATTATAAAGAATGCTAATATATTTTACTTCTTAAAATACAAAAATAGTTATAGAAATATAGTGTTTTATGTATATGTATCATATACATCCTATAAAATATAGAGCTCAATTTAAAATTCTGGTTCTTGCTTTCAAATCTCTACATAATGCTGCTCCCACCAATCTAGCCTCCCTTATACACAAGTATGTCCCGTCTAGGCCCTTACGATCCGCTGAAGACTAACGTCTATCTTCTGTCCGTACTCCCACCTCTGATGCTCGCCTTCAAGATTTCTCGAGGGCTGCACCGTTCCTGTGGAACTCGCTTCCCTCCTCCGTTAGATGCTCACCCAGTCTCCACTCCTTCAAAAAATCGTTAAAAACCCACTTATTCATAAAAGCGTATCAATTAAACTGTTAATAGCTCCTGATTCCTCTTCTGCAACTGTCATTAGTCTAATACTATCCTTACCTTTTTGTGTCATTTTACCCCACTCCCTCTAGCATGTTAGCTTATTGAGCAGGGCCCTCAGCCCCTCTGTTCCTGTGTGTCCAACTTGTCTGGTTACAACTACATGTCTGTCCGTCCACCCATTGTAAAGCGCTGCGGAATTTGACGGCACTCTATAAATATCATAATAATAATAATATATCAGGAAATCTGTACATCATTTTCTCTAGCCTAAAGCAGATGAGAAATCAATGTGGAATGTTAGCTGCCAATTGTTATTCCATCACTATTGAGAAGATTGGTTTTAAAAAAAAAGTTTCTCAATTTAGACATGTATAAAAGTCATTAATGGATGCAGTAAAATGTCTTTTCTACTGATTTTGCCATTTACTGCTTAAGAAAATCAATTATTGCACTTGAGTGAATGGACTACAAAATGTTTGCATTCTATTGGATTTTAGAGAACGCATTAACACTGTCACATTCAGTCCTCACTCTGCATTGTTTTAAAGAAAATCTAGATTAGTATCCTGTAGACTAAAATTAGTTAGACCCTTAAAACTGTATCACTAAGGGGGAAAAAAGTTCCTTTGAAACACAGAACAAGCAAAAGAAGGAACCTACAGTGTCGAAGAACATTCTGATTTATCACAGAAATATTTGAGTGTCTTATTGAAGCAATGCATCATGTCATCCCTTTCTTAAGGAGAAATCAATCACAATCCCAGCCCTCCTTTATAATTCTCTCGCTCTGTATTTGACACGAAAAATCAAATCTTAGAAGCTGGAGGTAAACGAAAGCATACATCATTGTTACCATTCCTAACCTTAAGCTTCTGAAAACTACCATGTGGCTATCTGTGTATCTTCTGTGCATCAATGACTGATAATTCAAGTTATCTATACTCTAAAATATTAAGCAGCTTTTAAAGATAATACAGATGTTATTTTTTAGTTTTTTTGTTTTTTGTTTGTCTGCTGTGCAGGTGGCATGTTCAGTCCATGTATTTTTGCATATTATATTTACTGCCAACATGTTTTCTTAGTATTCCACAGGTAACCTTATAAAATACCGGGGTATGTTTATTATAATATTGCTTTACATACCCGAGAAAAAGAAAGAGAAGCTGTAGTTAACTACCATTTATTTATTTATATATATAAAAATATATATATATTTATATATATATATATATATATATATATGTATATATATATATATTCTTATATATCCGAGAAAAAAATTACAGTATTTTATAATTTTAATAACTGTGCAATGTGTTTTGGAAAACTTGTAGATTTGGATTTGTCTTATTTAGAGTATTTACGTCATAGTTAAATTTAACATAATAGCTGTGAATTCAATTAATATTTTTAGACTCAGGCCACATCATGCAGTAACCATTTTTCTTTTCATCTTTTCGACATCTATACTATGTAATGAGGTTATCTGACCAACAAGGTCACAAGAAATTGCCATTTCATAATTTTTCTAGAATTAAATACCAATAAGCTCAGCAGTGCTAAGAAGGGCAGGTGAAGGATTTTCATTGCTTTCAACAGTTTTTAAATAATGTGATTTAGACATTATAGTCCGTGAATTATGGAACGACACATGTTAGCTTTTTTTTCAATATCGGATTTTTGAAAGTGACATTTTAATACACAAAGGAGAGATACCCTATAATGATAAGTTTGATGCTGTCCTGACCAAAGGTATGTCTATTCACAAAAGGCATCTTTTAGTTGGTAAATAATCGCCTTGTCTGCATTTGTATATGAAAAACTAAGTTTGACTGAGCACTCTTTTTACAACATCATTCTTATTTAAAGGGACACTGGTAATCATAAATACTTTATCTAAATAAAGTTGTAATGGTGCCAGGTGGCCCCAGGTGCATTCTTACCTTATCTGTTAAACTATTTAAAAACGGTTTAACCACAAATATGGCTGATATCCAGGTCCCCCAAGCGTCATGTACTCTCTGCATCTGAGTTATAGGAAGTGCAGAGTGCCACCAGGGAGGGGCGTTGCTGATTGGCTAGAGCGGCTAGCTCCCCATTTATAACAAAGGTAGCAACAAGGTCCCCTGCAAGCACCAGAGCCAAGCTATCAACCTTCAGTGTGTGCCTGTTGATGACCTCTACTGGTGGAGACAGTGTATTTAAATGGAACCATGATAAGATATAGGCTTACGGATCAGAGGGCATTTAGGCTGAGATAGACCCAGCGTTTTGTGAACAGCACATTTTCTTGTGTGTGGTACTTGTAGAACATTTTTTAAAGAGATATATATATATATATATATATAATATACACAGAGAGGGGGCTGCACTCACCTGAACATGCATACATTGTATGGTGCTGCTAGGGCCAAAATATACAACATACAAAATACACAATCCAGTGCACTCGCTTATTCACTAAACAATGATTTCAAATCTTACAGATTGTAATAGTTTTATTTAAAATCACCTCACCTAGGCAAGAAATAATGGGGTTTAGTTACATTATATGATCATAGATAGAAGTTACTTTTGGAGGCTGTAAGCATTCCTAAAAAGATGGGTTTTGAGAGACTTCTTAAAAGATTGAAGACAAGGGGAGAGAAAGGAAAGGAGCCGCCTGTGAGAAGTCTCACAGGCGTGAATTTGCAGTAAGGGTGCAAGCAGAAGACAGGAGAAAGTCACCAGTAGAGCGGAAAGACTGAGAGGGGACATACCTATGGATCAATGAAGAAATGTAAGAGGGGCTAGAGTTGGTTAGAACTTTATAGGTAAGGGTTAGTATTTTAAATTGACACCTGTAGGGTACAGGAACCCAGTGTAAGGATTGACAGAGGGGTGAGGTGTGAGCGGCGATACAGGTGAGAAAGATCAGCCTTCATCACAGATTGTAGGGGGGCAGTATGGCTTCTGGGGAGACCAATTAGGAGAGAATTACAGTAATCCATGCAAGAGATTACTAAAGCATGAACAAGCTCATTAGCAGCATCTTGCATAAGAAAGGGGTGTATGCAGGCAATGTTTTAAAGTTTGAATTGAAAGGTTTTAGCAACAGACTGGACATGAGGCTCAAAGGTGAGGCCACGATGACACCAAGACACTGAGCTTGAAAGGATTGGGTGAGGCAGGTACCATCAACCTACAGGGAGAGTGAAGGAGGAAGATCAATGTTATGAGGAGGAAAAATAAGAAATTCAGTTTTAGAGAGATTGAATCACAATCTGCCATTAATAATTAGTTTTTTTACATTAGTGAGATAAAAAAATAGAAATTGTGTAAAACACTAAAAATTAATAAGCTCAACGTTTTCCAGCACGTATTTGTATGTTTCACAACTTTTGTACTGAGCATTTCTCTGTAAACCAACCAAGAAACCAAGTAGACTGAGCCAATAGGTGGCAGTGTTGCTTCATGAAATAAGTGGATGTCTTTAAAGTTAGCATTTAGATGGAGTGACTTGCTTCAAATTTCTTTTAACATTGAAAACGGTTAAATTACGGTATCATTAAATCTGACCCTTTCCTTGGAATACAAACTATCAGTTTGTGCATTGGAGAATACTATATATTCTTTTAATGTAGCAAAATGTGGAAGAAAAAATAAGTTTCTGTTGTAAAAAAAGACTGCCTATTTGTGTTCTTTTCATTAACATCACATTTAGGATTTAGTTATATTTAATATTCATGTTTTGATTTTAGGCAGACCAAGCTAATAGAATAAGGTTTTAAAAGTCCAACGATTCAGCAGTTTAATCAAGTGTTCATTTATGGGCTACGCACTCACTGATCCCACTAGCTTCTGAACACTGACTGAATAATTTAATAATTTGTGGTCATTACCTTGCAGCGGTGAAGCTAAACAGCTCTAAAAAGGATTATTATTTGACCCTACTAGTAGTTATTTTGCCGTAGGCTGTTCTGGACTCCTGTTAAATAATAGATGGGCAGTAGCACTAATGGTAGAATTGTGTTATTTTGTAAGGCAAACACAAGGGTGATCAGTCAATAATTGCACCTGTCCTTTCTAATGCTATATTGCACACAATTAAAACTGCAACTTATCTTGACGTCTGCTTTTCACTATTCCTGGCCACTTGGTATACTGATATTTTACCATTGTTTCTATTTCTGTGTAATATTCAGTGACCTAACACAAGTACCTCAGTTGATAAAGAATTTTTTGTTTGACTTTCCTTGCCAAAAAATTCTTCAAACTGACAGGTTTGCAGTTTTCTAACTATCTGATTTGATTCGTGTTATACAATTAAGTGCTTCTGCTCTTAATGCTAAAAGCTCATACCCCTTGCTGAGAGGATCAATCCTGTTTCAATGGGTGTTACACTTGTTGCGAGATACACATCTCCTGCATGTTTGGGAAGCACAGGTTTGCTTCCTATAACAGGTTAAAAGTCCCCAACAGATTATGTTGGCTTCGTGATATGTAAATAAAACTTACTTGTTTTCTCTCTCTCCATGCTCAGATTGTCTGTCCAAAGCTCATTCAATAAATCATTCTGGCTGTTTCTTTCTATGTTGCTGCTCTCTCACAGTTAAAAAACAGAAAGGGTCAGCGCTAAATAAAAAAGGTAAAATAAGGCAGCAACCCTAAGAAGGGGATCCCTCTGAACCCTTCAAAATAACAGAAAAGAAAACAGATGGGGAAGGGCTGCACCACAAAAGGAGGTACTAAAATATATTAAAATATATTCCCAATGAAATACGATATACAGAATTAGAATAGTCTCTAGGTAAAATAAATAAATAGATAAATAGGTAAGTCCAGCTTTGGTATCTTGGTTCTTTATACTTGAGGGATGTGAAGGGTCTGGGTCTTCTCAGTCTCCATATGTGGAAAAAGAAAAGACAGAGCGACCTGATAGTGCAATATGTCTGGGCTAGACGGACAACACTTAAGAGATAAAAATATTGCGCTCACATGAACAAGAACTATGACCAGCTCTAGTGGATATCGCATACAGTGGTATAATCCCCACTTATGCGATATGATGGTCGTAGTCTTTCACAGTAGATGGCAATCTAAGTGCTCGAAGCAAAAGAGCCACAGATAGTGCTCTCAGTAATATAATACAGGTAAATAAAAATAAACAGCATATTACTTACAAGTATGGAGCAGACTTACTGCTCAGTGATGACAGCGTTAGTGGTATGATCCCCACCTAGGATGTTCTTGAGAGTAAAGTAGATAACCGCTCTTCGGGTTAAAAATAAATAAAATAAATAAAAAATGCCAGGAAAAAAACTCAGATTGAGTAAATTATTGAAATAAGGAGGTAGTAGGTTGTAATAAAACCAAAAATCCTTAATTCAATATAAAAAGTTTTTGAAAGAAATATCCATAACGCTGAGAGGTTCAATCCTGTTTCAGTGGGTGTTACACTTGTTGCAGGATACACCTCCTGCATGTTTGGGAAGCACAGGTTTGCTTCCTATAACAGGTTAAAAGTCCCCAACAGATTATGTTGGCTTCGTGATATGTAAATAAAACTTACCTGTTTTCTCTTTCTCCATTCTCAGATTGTCTTTCCAAAGCTCATTCAATAAATCATTCTGGCTGTTTCTTTCCATGTTGCTGCTCTCACACAGTGCCTGTCCCTCCTCCCTACTTCCCTTTGCAGGCATTGCTTTCCCTTAGGCTGAAGGCAAGCAGGGGAGATGCTCAGATGAGAATTTCCCTGATAACAAACATACAAAGCACAGTCTTATTATCTCTGTGCCAATTGGCATAGATTGTACTGATTTTAGAGAAATCTCAACATTTTCTATCAATTCTGCTAGCACAATGTATAGATGAAATTTAATTCTCTATCATTTAAGATCATGGTGTACTTGTCATAACATCTGTTACATCTGTGATAAGGTGTTTTATTTTAAATATAGGTTTTAGTAACTATAATAATGCATCATGTCTTAGCACTGTCTTCACTACCAGCCATAGGACACCAAAAATATTTGTGTAATTAACCAATAGAAGACAGGAAGCCTACCTTATGATATCTGTATAAAAGGCAGCAATATCATGGCAAGACCACAAATGGTGTTTCTAGCCCCTCTTTGTATCCATCTCTTAAAAGGCAGGTGACGAACACAGGCAGATTTGAGTTTGGTCTCTTGGTATATACGGCAGTATTGCGGGATAATTGTGTTAAATGCAACATGAAAAAACTGGGTACTTGATTATGTGCACATGATGTCTACATGAACCAGAGCATAAATTAGTTTCGTAGGAGGGTAGCTCCCCTATATACGAAACTGTATAGTGTCCATCATTCATTACGACATACCACACCATTCTGAAATCGTTTTATGAAAACCAGAAAGCGGATGAATTGACAATTAAAAGCCAATCTAAAACAGACCATTTTCTAAGCCTTAATCAATAGCCTTAGATACCGGGAGTGGGGTATTTCCCCCTCAAGATTATAACCAATGAACATTGGGTAAAATGTTGCCTTTCCTTTTAGCATTCTCTATTTGTGTAGATGACTCAATCTGCTATTATGTCTTGAGCTATACAAATTAATCATCTTGGAATCTTTTACTCCATATTTAGCAAACATACACATCCATTCTTTTTAGGTAGATGCCATCCGAGATTGTACACTAATTTGGAGGTCTGCTTAGCAGCTGTCTATTTACAACTATATGGCACAATCATTGGCTATTTCTAGTGTTTGTGATAAAATGTACTACTTCTTTTAATTACTGTTTGTGTCGTAAGCTAACAGAGTTAGAGTATACTTCATTATGCCATTTAAGAACTATAAATGCCATTTGAAATATTGTCTGACTAGCAAGAAGATGATTGATCTAATTTAATTTATTGCTGTTTAGAATTTAGTAGGGTATGCAGATAAATTTGACCTGATTCAATAGGATTCCTAACATTTTTTATTTTGTATAAAGTAAACATTTTTAAAGTTGCGCAGCACTTAAATGAAAAAGAGGGAGAAGGTATGGTATCTGGGATTGGGAAACATTATTCCAGAGGGGATTGATGACAAAGCACACGGCGATTGCACATTGACAGCAGATATGAGAGTGATGCCAGGCTGGTATTCAGTCCATCAATGACCATGCTGTTTGATGAAAACATTTATCTCGACAGCGAGAGTTTGGTGAACCACTGAAAATGAATGACCCGTGCAGCCTGAACATACCCCACATGAGGATTTTTGCAGGTGCTAAAGTTTCATCTTCATGACAGATCTTTTATAAGACTAAGCTGATATAACAAGGAAAATAGAGTGGACCATTTTTCATTTCCCATGTACATGGAATCCTGCAGTCAGTTTCAGTATTGTTTATTCAAGCTTGTTCTGTTCATACTGCTTCTCGTCTTCCTGATCTGCTAGTGCCGAGTTGCAGAAACTTTGTAGGAATCTGACAGCTTGCATCCGGAGTTTCTGAATAATATGTTTTTCATTTTGAAGTTTCATTACACAATTAATATCATATTTGCAGATGGATGACGTGATATACACCTGCTTTCCCCAGTCTCCTTCCTTCTTAACTTTCTGACATTTTCCCCCCCTTGTTATTAGTTAGACTGTAGGCCCAGATTCACAATAGTTGGGTTATGACAAAGAAAAAAACAAAAAACTGTATAATGTAATATATGTTATTATGCAATGTTTGAGAACAAAGATTCAAGACTGTATTTCCCAAACAAGGAATCTGGGGCAATTCATAAGATAATTGTACAGTACATATTCAACCTTAAAAAGTAAGCTGGAAAATTAGGCGGATTTTAGAATTGTTCAAATTCATCAGTTTTTGTGTTGATCATAAAATGTGTTGATCAACAATTAACTTTCCTGTTTGCTGTTTAACCTCTTCAAGTGGTTAAACATTGCTTCTTTTTTTTTTATCCTGATGGTTCAAGCAAGCCATATGGCTTGAAGGTGTTAAAGTATTCACAGCGTGTTTTGAAACATAATGCTCTTGACTTTTAGGCTTTGGGGTATCTTCTTACGATTCATTTATTCCTCATCACTTTGAATTGTTTTTCTTATTAAATATAACACATTCACAATACTTAGTTTTTTTTTCTCATTATTATAATGTTGTAGGCTACATTATGTTATTAAAAATACAAGATTGATTTTTACAATGGAATGTCATGTTATCATACCGACAACCATTTTTATGCTGATCATCAAATGAAAATAAAAGAGGAGAAAATAATGGCATCTGGAAATTCATGATTACAGTTCAACCAAAACAGGTTGAACTGTGCCTAAGTTTAGGACATTAGTATGTACCTAAGTTGGGGCATGGTAACAAATATAACAAATTACACAAAATAAAGCAACACAAAAAACGAAACCCTTTTTTTCAATTTTTTATATAAAAAAGAATGGTGATTAAGAGAACACAACCCTTGAACATAGGTTAGTAAATATGCAAACTGCTATAATTGCTTAGAGCTATTTAAAGGACCACTCTAGGCACCCAGACCACTTCAGCTTAATGAAGTGGTCTGGGTGCCAGGTCCAGCTAAGGTTAACCCATTTTTTCATAAACATAGCAGTTTCAGAGAAACTGCTATGTTTATGAATGGGTTAAGCCTTCCCCTATTTCCTCTAGTGGCTGTCTCATTGAGTGGTCCTGTGATTTTCACAGTGAGAGCATGCCAGCGTCCATAGGAAAGCATTATGAATGCTTTCCTATGCGACCGGCTGAATGCGCGCGCAGCTCTTGCCGCGCGTGCGCATTCAGCCGACGGGGAGGAGAGGAGGAGGATCGGAGGAGGAGAGCTCTCCGTCCAGCGCTGGAAAAAGGTAAGTTTTTACCCCTTTCCCCCTTCCAGAGCCGGGCGGGAGGGGGTCCCTGAGGATGGGGGCACCCTCAGGGCACTATAGTGCCAGGAAAACGAGTATGTTTTCCTGGCACTATAGTGGTCCTTTAAGCTTAATAGGGACTTGTCACATTATTCATCTGTATATTAGTTTAAACAACTGTGATGCTTTTATTTAATCAATGAGTTGGTCAACAAACAAACAAACCATATAAATCATATAGCTCACCTTTTACAGAGATACACTCACAATACATTTGGAATGGTATATGTTTAAGTGATGCACTAAAATAGGTGTTGATCAAATGTATGATTTAACTTCACTCCGTATGAATAGCTGAACATTAGGGCGTCTTCTACTGCTCAATTCTTCCACACACCACTTTTAATAGCTTATTTCGACACTAGCATCCTATCCATCAATCCTTTCTCCCCTTTGACAGTCTATTATTCCTCGTGTGTCTTTTGTTTGATCAGTGCCTTCTCCACCTCTTGACTCTGTAAATATTCTGTATGCCAATTACTTAGTGTCAATTATACCCATTCTCTAATTGTGAATGGCTGCGGAATATGTTGGTGCTATATAATTATTATTAATAATAATGTAAGAATAAAAGGCCACATTTTAGAGTGGCCTTTTACTGTGGCCAGCCTAAGGCGCACCTGTGCAATAATCATGCTGTCTAATCAGCATCGTGATATGCCACACCTGTGAGATGGATGGATTATCTCGGCAAAGGAGAAGTGCTCACTAACACAGATTTAGACAGATTTGTGAACAATATTTGAGAGAAATAGGCCTTTTGTGAACAGTTCAGCTCATGAAAAATGGGGACAAAAACAAAAGTGTTGCATTTATAATTTTGTTCAGTGTACATGCATCTGTCTCTTTTGAGGAACAGTAGCAATGTATTTTTATATTCTGCTCCCTACTTTTTGGGGATTATCCCATCTGGTTTAGTAAGGAATTTGAAATATATTTTTATTGCAAAACACACTTTACAAATGGGCATATCTGTGTGTAAAATTCATATGGGCCCTTCATATTTTAAAAATTCCAATTATGTACTCTGTAATTTGTGGAGATCACCAAACTATAATGACCTTCCTATGTCCGTATCTGATTTGAGATTTTGGGGGTACCCTTTCTAACCCACATTTAGCATAGTTTGCATAGGTTGAGTACCTTTTGGTTATAGCTCTCCCAAGAGTACAGTTCATATTTTTATTTTTATGTCATTCTACTAAAAAAGAGAATGCACTTTTCTTCTTTGCAATCTAATCTATCAATGCTGTCTACATAATATGTTGTTTAATTGCATTAAAGAACGTAATGTTTCTTTAAGAAATGACTGCTCAGCAAATACTCTGTTCAAATAAATGAAATCTCTTCCTCCAGAATTTTAATTTCTTTCTCACCACGAGCATGGTGGTTCAGCTGAATCCCAGTCATGTCAAGTTTCTTATTGTTTTTAAGTCTCAATGCAATTACTGCAGATCCGGCTTAATAATAGTACCAGAACTGCTGTATTGTATGGTCCTCAAGCAGAATGTACTGGGTGGTTCATAGAAAATGCAGGATATAGGAAAACATGTGTGAGAAGAAATGAAAGATGTATGACTGGAGGGTCTCTTTCTACAGTTCTTCATATCCAGTGCGAGCAGTCTTCTTTATCTTCTGTACGTGTTCTCTAGTTTTGTGGTTCCATGGAACCTTATGGAGCTGACAAAATGTGTAACAATTATATTATTGAATTATTACTGATTTTAGCTGAACTTGGAATTGTGGGGATTTGTGATTGAAATGGACATTTTTTACTAAAATAGTCAAAACATTCTGAGAACACATTTTATTTTCTTCAGTTGTTTTTACCCGTAATATAAATTCCCATATCTATTTTAATTAATAAATTATATTCAAAATGCTCGATAAGTGCCAGTATCAGTACAACATGATCCTAAATAATGATTTCCTCCAGTGTAGTTAATTTCTATTGTAAGTCTCCATGAATATTGCAATGTACAAAATATAATGCATAGCAAATTAGATCAATAAACAATAGATCCCAAGAACAAGAAATGGGTAGCTTCAAGTTTCCCTTTGGAAATTAGACGATGGACCGAAAATTTTACAGAAAATTCTATTACTTTTATGAAAAGAGTAATATTTATTTTTCAATTTTTTTGCAATATTTAACCCCTTGTCTGAATTATGAACCAAAACCAAACCTAGAATTTTAACTGCAGACATGGAAAAAATAAAGTGCACCCTCTTTGAATTCTGTGGTTTCTACATGTCAGGCCATAACAATCATCTGTTCCTTAGCAAGTTTTAAAATTAGGTAAATACAATCGGATGAAAAAAAACAGCACTAGAAATATTACACTGTCATGATTTATTTAACAAAAAGTGGAGAAGCCATTTGTGGAAAACTAAATACACCCTTACTGCTTCCATAGGAATTAAGAGGCTTAGTAGCAGACAGGTGCAGCTAATAAAATTTCCTTGAGAATTGATCATCAACAAGTGTGGCCACCTCTATAAAAGCTGAAGTTTTAGCTGTTTTTCTGGTCTGGAACATTCAGGTGTGTGTTAAAACAATGCCAAAAAGGAAAGATATCAGCAATGATCTTAGAGAAGAAATTGTTGCTTTCCATCAAACTGGTTAGGGTTATAATGTCTTTCAATATTTTTATTAGTGATATTGCAGAAGGTCTTGATGGTAAGGTATGTCTTTTTGCTGATGATACTAAGATATGTAACAGGGTTGATGTTCCAGGAGGGATAAGCCAAATGACAAATGATTTAGGTAAACTAGAAAAATGGTCAGAATTGTGGCAACTGACATTTAATGTGGATAAGTGCAAGATAATGCATCTTGGACGTAAAAACCCAAGGGCAGAGTACAGAATATTTGATAGAGTCCTAACCTCAACATATGAGGAAAGGGATTTAGGGTGATTATTTCTGATGACTTAAAGGTAGGCAGACAATGTAATAGAGCAGCAGGAAATGCTAGCAGAATGCTTGGTTGTATAGGGAGAGGTATTAGCAGTAGAAAGAGGGAAGTGCTCATGCCATTATACAGAACACTGGTGAGACCTCACTTGGAGTATTGTACACAGTACTGGAGACCGTATCTTCAGAAGGATATTGATATCTTAGAGAGGGTTCAGAGAAGGGCTACTAAACTGGTTCATGGATTGCGGGATAAAACTTACCAGGAAAGGTTAAAGGATCTTAACATGTATAGCTTGGAGGAAAGACGAGACAGGGGGGATATGATAGAAACATTTAAATATATAAAGGGAATCAACACAGTAAAGGAGGAGACTATATTTAAAAGAATAAAAACTACCACAACAAGAGGACATAGTCTTAAATTAGAGGGACAAAGGTTTAAAAATAATATCAGGAAGTATTACTTTACTGAGAGGGTAGTGGATGCATGGAATAGCCTTCCAGCTGAAGTGGTAGAGGCTAACACAGTAAAGGAGTTTAAGCATGCATGGGATAGGCATAAGGCTATCCTAACTATAAGATAAGGCTAGGGACTAATGAAAGTTTTTAGAAAATTGGGCAGACTAGATGGGCCGAGTGGTTCTTATCTGCCGTCACATTCTATGTTTCTATGTTTCAAACTATTTAATTCCATCATTCTACAGTGAGAAAGATTTTTCAAAAGTGGAATACTTTTTTTTTTTTTTTTTTTAAAGGTATGTGGAGTAATGTATGTACATTTATGTCGGTATCTGTTAAAGAAAAAGGAAACAATATTACTAAAGTTGAAAACGTTCAAGATGGTTACCAATCTTCCCAGGAGCAGACGTCCTGGCAAATTCACCCCAAAGTCAAACTGTACGATGCTGTAAGAAGTAGCAAAAATACATCTCAGTCTCTACAGACCTCAGCATGTTAAATGTTAAAGTTTATGATAGTACATTTAGAAAAAGGCTGAACTAGTATGGTTTGTTTAGAAGGGTTGCCAGGAGAAAGTCCCTTCTCTCTAATACCAGCATTACTTAGGTTTGCATAGTTGCATCTGAAGAAACCACAAGATTTCTGGAACAGTGTGCTTTGGACAGACAAGACCAAAATAGAGAGATTTGGCTATGATGCATAGTGCCATTTGGTGAAAAGCAAACACAGCATATCTAACTAAGTGTCAAGCACAGTGGTGGAGGGGTGATGATTTGAGCTTGTTTTACAGCCACAAGACCTGGGAACTTTACAGTCATTGAGTCGACCAAGAACTCCTTTTGTATAGCACAGTTTTCTGTAGTCAAATGTGAGGCCATCTGTCTGACAGCTAAAGCTTGGCCGAACTTGGGTCATGCAACAGGACATTGATCCCAAGCACACCAGCAAATCTTTACCAGACTGGTTGAAAAAGAAACTAGGGCCTAGGTGTTGGTGTTGTAATGGCCTAGTCAAAGTCCCACACATCAACCTGATTGAAATGCTGTGACAGGACTTTTAGAGAGCTGTGCATAAACACATGCCAGAAACCTCATTGAACTGAAGCAACGTTGTAAAGACGAGTGGGCCAAAATTAATCCACAACGATGTGAGAGACTGATAAAGTCTTACAGAAAATGATTACTTTTCTGTATATGAAATAATGAATAAAATCTGAAATGTTTGAAATAAAGTGAATAGAAGAAAAGTGTGAGAAATTAAGAGATTTCTTTTTTATTTTCCAAATTGTACGTGGCATTTCAACTGTGCATGTCATAATACGGTTTGCTATTACTGAAATAAAACACATATTTGTATGCTTCGATGTCAGACGAGTACTCTCTTTCGCTCGTGCACGCGCTCTCTCTCTATATATATTATAAAAATAAATACTTAGAATGATATTTAAAGAGACACTGTATACACACACACACACACACACACACACAACAATATACATCTTGTGAACTTTATGGGCAAAAACACAGTCCTCTAGGGTAACAGGTATAGAACAACAGTCTCTTATGCGAAAAAGGTGTGGTTTATTTACATTGTGCACAAAAATCCATGAAGCAATCAGTTTGTTTAGAACTGCAGCAAAACAGAAAGGAAAGTCTACAAACAAAATCCTAGCTCAAATTTGAGCATTCACTAAACATAAAGTAATGTCCCTTACTAAACCAGGGTAATAATCTACATAAATCAACAAAATAAACATTGGTTTCACCAACCTTTAGCACTTTGTTTGGTGCTGCTCTGCACAGACCTGCTCTCTCTGCAGGTCAGATTGTATCTCTCTCCTTTCTGCTCTGAGACCTGCTAATTAAAGCCTCAGCAGTTGCTAATTGGGCAGGTGAATGAGTAAAGGCTATGGAGGATTCTGGGTCCTAAATACCTTCCTTCTATTACCCTCCCATAGCCTCTGTCACAATATAAATACAACAAATGCACAAATATATGTACACAAACACCAATACATGTGACTACACATACATAGACCCATGTATATGTACACCTGTTCACACACACACACACACACTATATATATATATATATATATTTATAAACATTTTTCCATGATTTTTTTACATGATTTTACCCCTGATGGTTAGACAGCACCCAGACACTCCTGCCCTTATACCAACTTCATTGAGATGAAGTTGTTATAGTGTTGGGAATGTTATATTAAAAGTAATAGAACAGACATCTTAGTTCCTTGATTATTTAATTTTTTCACATTTACTTGTGTCTGATTAATTACCATTGTGATATAGCAAACCTAATTTTAACTCGATTTAGATCATTTGAAACTCGTTATCAACTTTTTTTCCATACATAAGTGCCTCTATTTATTTTTCTCTGTCTAAATTATCATTGTTCTTGTAGTTATTCAGCACGAAGGGCATTTTTTCATTAACATATTAATGTTTAATTTGGAAAATACGTAATCCTTGTTCTTTTAATTTTAAAAAGGGTTTGCTTTCCTTCAGCATCTCGTTAGATTTCATTATTCTTCATGTACTCTCTCCAAAGGAAGATTTGCTTTTGCATTTACTGATCCTATTAAATGAGCATTTTGACCTACTACAAGAAAAAACACCAAATATACGCCTTCAAATCTGACACTGCAGATTGTTTAATATATACTGCTAAAGTTTGTGCTGTAAAAGCAGAACATCAGATTATTATTATAGCACAGATGGGGTTTACATACATAGTAAGGTCAGGTCTTGGTAAGGTTCAAATTCTATGCCTACGTTTTAGAATGCTAATGTATAAGAATTAGGCAGAGGAAATAATTCACCTCTGCATGAATTCACTTCTTGCATGCTGAGTTCTTCCTAAAAATAACATTAGTTTATTCTTGTTCTTGTTTTCTTTAATTACCACAGGTCTGCGATACGTGCTCTGCATCCTGGCGGATCTCTGGTGTATTCAACATGTACTCTATCGAGGGCAGAGAACAGTCATGTTATTGACCGTATTTTAACTTCCTGCAGCGACGTTAAGCCAGTGGATCTAAGTGACTTGGCAACTGCATTATCTCATGAGTTCTCTTTTGCTTCTGACATACCACATGGACTTTTGGTTCTTCCACATGTAGGAAAATCATGGGGTCCCATGTTTGTGGCTAAACTTAGAAAACTCTAGGCCAGCAAACTGTGCTCTTAATTTATTATATTTTAATTTTAATGGCGTGGTTGTTTTTTTTTTTTTTAACAGATTTTCAATTTCGTAGGTGCCATTTTTCCACTAGCTATTGATAATCACATAAAACAAATTAGATAAATGTTGATGATTTTTATTTGTAAAATAAAATATATTTATGTAGTATTGGTACACTGGAAACAATCAACAATAAGTGATGTTTTTAACATAATTTCTCCTACCACTAAAGAGAAAGATGGTGTTTACAGCAAAAAGCCTGAAGGTAATGATTCTACTCACCAGAACAAATTCAGTAAGCTGTAGTTGTTCTGGTGACTATAGTGTCCCTTTAATACTGAGTATAATCAAAAAGCTTTTGATGTATAGCGTATTATGAACAAACATTAGCTGCTATTATTAGAGTTATTATTAGAGCTGCTTTTTGAGTTAGAAAATACCCCACATCCCTAAAGTGATTTTTATAAAAGGAACAAGTTTACATTTTTTTTAGCACCCACCACTTTTCGCAGAAGTAAGGTCAAAAATAAAAGAAAGGAAGGGTTTTATCCTTGCGGAAATTGCAAAGGTTGCAATTATCACTTTAAAATCACTAAGGAATTCAAGAGTACTCAAACCTCAGAGAAGAGCTGTTCTTCCACACATGTTGTGTACTACTTGTGTGTGTGGTATGCAGTATGTGTAAAGAACAGGAAGGCCAAAGTGAGATTTTTAGAACATTTGTACAATATTTGGAAAAGGACAGTGTCACATTCAGTTCCCTCTTATTGTAATGAATGTTCTGCTTTTAATATGGAAGATTTTACGTTTACTATCATAGAACAGGTTCAGCTTGATGAAAGAGGAAGAGATCGTATGCAAAATTTGAGAAGAGTTTGAATGTGGATTTTTTTATTATTAAATTTTGATCTGATTACAAAGCTTGGATTACAACCAGGAAGTTAAACTTCATAGGAAAGACTCTGCACCGATTCGTCGAGGGTGGTCGGCAGGAGCTTCCCTTTGGGTTTAAAAACAGGATCGAGGGACCAATGAAGGTGTGCTGCTATCGGAAGAAGAAGACTGGTTTGAATGCCCCTGAGGAGGTCTGAGCTAAATCAGATGAAATGCGTAGAGCAGAAGACTTGACAGAGTGTTTTAGTATTTTCCTGTTTCCTTCTGTTTTCCAGTGGTTTTATATTTGGTGGAGTCAGAAGACTTTCCCTTATTACTGGAATACTTACTGGGAGGACATATTTCTACAGCTCCAGCTTTTCATTTGATGTGCCTTATATTTCTTTGTGTCTTGTAAGTGCATTTGGTATTAAAGTTTTGATTTTAATTTTGGATACTCTGCACTATGTCTTGCTCCTTTCTGTTTACATGTTATACCATTGTGCTGAAGGATTGAGGGTTCCTCTGAGAGATTATTGATGTGCCTACTATCAAGAAGTGGTTTGAGAATGAATATCACATCACCTTGATTTTTTGTTTTTAGTGTATGTACAATACTACTCTATGGTGTTATTTGTCTCTTTTTCTGTATTCCACCTTTAGATTGTAAATAACAAAATATAGCAAGGTACAAGTACTGATACAATTACCAAAGAAAATGTGTGTTCATAGTAAATCATGAACTTGGGGGATAAGGAAGAGACTTAGCAGAGGAGCAACAGAGACAACTAAAGGAAACAAGGACTATAATACAAAGGGTGCAAGAGAAGGAGAGGAAAAGCTCAAGGCAGATATTAGAATGCGAGGAAATTGTGCCTGACGTTCCTGGCCAGATCTCCTGGATGGCATTGAATAGCTTGCAGTTTATATTTACATTTTTTTGTAGCATTTGGTGGTGAAATGTCTTGTACATGTCACGTCTACTAGCACAGGATGGGTAGATTTCCAAGTATGTGCTTTAATCATAACATCTACTGTCAGTATATGTAACATATTGGGCCCTTTAACATGAGAGGGAAACGAGTTCAATAGAAAGACCTAAGGGTCAAAGGAAGGTGGTAAGTGTTGAAGAGTGTATTACAGTTTGGATATCTGTGCATGATAATCAACTTTATCATAGTAGAAGTAAGCTTGATAAGACATGCTACCAAAGTGCAATTATAAACAAAACAAACTGAAAATCCATGCAGCCTAAAAGATGTGTTTTAGAAAAGGCATTTGAAATAGTAGTGGATTACTTGTATCAATTAAAAATATGAATATACTAGTAGAAATTACAATATGGTGTCCTGATGAGCTCAATTAAAAAGACCGATAACCAGAGATGCAACTACAAACCACGGGGCCCCGGTGCGAAAATTGCTCTGCCCCCCCATGTGTTTCATTCCATATCCCCCAGCCCCTCCATGTGTCTCATCCTCTTCAGGCCAGCATGTATCTCATTCCCACCCCCTGTCCCTCCATGTGTCTTATTCCCCCCACCCCAGGCCCCTTAGGCCTCCTGTGTCTCTCATTCCCTCCTCCCCCATCCCCTCCATGTGTCCCATCCCCTCCATGTGTCCTATTTCTCCCTTTCCACCTTCTCTCCATGTGTCTCTTTCCTCCCTTTCTCCCCTCCTCTCCATGTATTGCATTTCTCTCTCTCTCTCTCACCTCCATGTGTCCGTTTCCTCCCTCTCTCCCCCTCCCTTACATGTGTCCCTTTCCTCCCTCTCCCCTACATGTGTCCCTTTCCCCTCTCTCTCCCACTCCCCTACATGTCTCTTTCCTCCCTCTCTCCCCCCTTCCCTACATGTGTCCCTTTCCTCCCTCTCTCCCCCTTCCCTACAAGTGTCACTTTCCTCCCTCTCTCCCCCCTCCCTTACATTTGTCCATTTCCTTCCTCTCTCCCCCTCCCCTACATGTGTCCCTTTCCTCCCTCTCTCCCTCCCCTTACATTTGTCCATTTCCTTCCTCTCTCTCTCCCTCCCTACATGTGTCCCTTTCCTCCCTCTCCCCCTTCCCTACATGTGTCCCTTTCCTCCCTCCTCTCCCCACATGTGTCCCTTTCCTCTCTCTCCCTCCCTACATGTGTTCTTTCCCTCTCTTTCCCTTACATGTGTCCCTTTTCCTCCCTCTCTCCTTCCCTACAAGTGCTACTTTCCTCCTCTCTCCCTCCCTTATTGCCATGTATGTGTCCTTTCCTCCTCTCCTTCATGTGTCCTTCTCCTCCCCTCCTTTCTGTGTGTTCCTTTCCTCCCTCCCTACGTGTCTTTTTCCTCCTTATCTCACCCTCCCTACATGTGTCCTTTCCTCTCCCTCCCCTACATGTCACTATGCTCTCCCTCTCCCTCATCTTCCTCCTCCCTCTGCCATGTTCCTTTTCCTCTCCCCTTCCCTACATGTGTCCTTTCCTCCCTCTCCCTCCCTACATTTGTCCATTTCCTTCCTCTCTCCCCCCTCCCCTACATTTGTACATTTCTTCCCTCTCTCCCCCTCCCCTACATGTGTCCCTTTCCTCCCTCTCTTCCCCCTTTCCTACATGTGTCCCTTTTCTCCCCCTGTCCGTACATGTGTCCCTTTCTTCCCTCTCCAACCATGGTAGGTACGCCACTGCTGTTAATTAAAGAATGCAAGCTAATCTTAAAATATATGTAAGTGCAATCATGCTAAAAATATAAAGTTACAAGTTGGATTATTGAAATATCTAATGTTTATGTCTTATTGAGGATCAGAAGGCAGACATTTATTTATTTATTTTTTTTATATTGGCACACAGCAAAGAAGAACTAATTACTTTACTTTAGGAAATCAGTGTTAGAAAACCTTACAGCATACCCTCCATGTGTCCTATTTCTCCCTCTCCACCCTTCTCTCCATGTGTCTCTTTCCTCCCTTTCTCCCCTCCTCTCCATGTATAGCATTTCTCTCTCTCTCTCTCCCCTCCATGTGTCCCTTTCCTCCCTCTCTCCCCCTCCCCTACGTGTCTCTTTCCTCCTTCTCTCACCCCTCCCATACATGTGTCCCTTTCCTCCCTCTCCTCCCTCCCCTACATGTGTCACTATGCTCTCTCTCTCCCTCCCTTACATTTGTCCATTTCCTTCCTCTCTCCCCCCTTCCCTACACGTGTCCCTTTCCTCCCTCTCTCCCCCCTTCCCTACACGTGTCCCTTTCCTCCCTCTCTCCCCCCTACATGTGTCCTTTCTCTCCCTCCCTCCCCTTCCCTTCGTGTATCCTTTCCTCCCTCTCTCCCTCCCACGGTGTCCTTTCCTCCTTATCTCACCCCTCCCTACATGTGTCCCTTTCCTCCTCTCCCTCCCCTACATGTGTCACTGTGCTCTCTCCTCCCTTATATTTTGTCCATTTCCTTCCTCTCTCCCTATCCTTTCCTCCCTCACCCTACATAGTGTCCTTCTTTCCTCTCCTTCTTCCCTACAAGTGCCTTTCCTCCCTCTCCTCCCCTATATTTGTCCATTTCCTTCCTCTCTCCCCCCTCCCCTACATTTGTCCATTTCTTCCCTCTCTCCCCCTCCCCTACATGTGTCCCTTTCCTCCCTCTCTCCCCCCTTTCCTACATGTGTCCCTTTTCTCCCCCTGTCCGTACGTGTGTCCCTTTCTTCCCTCTCCAACCATGGTAGGTACGCCACTGCTGTTAATTAAAGAATGCAAGCTAATCTTAAAATATATGTAAGTGCAATCATGCTAAAAATATAAAGTTACAAGTTGGATTATTGAAATATCTAATGTTTATGTCTTATTGAGGATCAGAAGGCAGACATTTTTTTTTTATATTGGCACACAGCAAAGAAGAACTAATTACTTTACTTTAGGAAATCAGTGTTAGAAAACCTTACAGCAACATGTAGCTTATGTAGTAATCGATGAAAGTTAAGGCAGGAAAAGCCCCAACTACAAGTTATATACTGATGGGTAATATGGGAGATATGTATAGTTATGCATAGCCACAATATTTATTTTTAATCTAACAGAATTTTTTTTTTTTTTTCAGGATTGGTGACAAAGGATTGAATTAAGGAATAAACAGTGTGCACACTTAACAAAGGATAAACAAAATCTCTGTTTTGGAATTACAGGTTTTTAAAGGAATACTTTAATGTTAGGAGTACAAAGCTTTATTCCTAACACTAAAGTGTCTCCCCCTTTTTCCCCACTTCCTGGCACTCAAAACGTTAAATAACCCTTAAAATCATTCACCTTAGGTTCCTCAGCACCGACTCCTTTTCCACCTCCTCTGATGTCAACGCAGAGGGGGAACGTAATGTGTATTGAATCATCAATGCTTTCCTACAAGGAATTTGAAGACGCAGGATGTCCTCATGCAAAGCGTGAGGACAAACAGCATCATTTCATGGAATCAAACTCATTGAACCTGCAAAAAGCACCTCTAGTGGCTGTCTACCAAAGGCATTATTAACATTGCAATATAAACAATGCAGTTTCTCTAAAACTGCAATGTTTTATATTGCAGGATTAAGGGATCAGGGACACTGCACCCAGACCATGTCAATGAGATGAAGTGGTCTGTGTGCCTATTGTGTCCCTTTAAGTTTGACAGCTGTGTTGTGGTTTATGAGATATATTCAGACATACATTTTGCACAATACGATTAGCAAGAGTCAACATGAAAGATACGTCATGTCAAGCTATCCCCACTGTATTCCAAAAATAAATAAGAAATTGTATAAGGGTGTTACAGTAGATCTACAATTAATTTTCTAAAGCCCTTGGCACAGCTCTGCATGAAAGCTAGGTAGTTGTACCAGATGAAAAAAAATGTTTCAAAAGAGAACCCTATTTCTTTGATTGGAAAAAAAAGTGAAATAAGAAAAAGCTAAAATAAAAATAGTAACTCGGGGACTGGGGCTTCTTGGAGGAAGGTAGCACTTTGTCAGGTATAGCATGGCATGTATTTCGTCGCCGGAACCCACTTCCGGGTTAACGGCGCTCAGCCCCGCCCCTTTTTTCTGACGCGGTCCCTCCACGATACTTAGGAAGACCGCGCCAGATTCAAAGGCATGGATTATTCGCACAGGTGCTGCAGAAAGATCAGCTGCTCTACTTTTGATCCTACCTGCTCCACTTCTCGACCTCGGCTAGTAAAACGGATTTCTACCTTCTCCACTTCTCGACCTCGGCTTGTAAACGGATTTCTACCTTCTCCACTTCTCGACCTCGGCTTGTAAACGGATTTCTACCTTCTCCACTCCCAGACCTCGGCTTGTTAAAACGGACTTCCCCACTCTCCACTCCTAGTTCTCAGCTTGTTGAAACGGACTTCTAATTTCTCCTTCATTGGGTGAATTAACCCTTCCAGTGCCAGAACTGCCTTTAAGTTAAGTAATACTTTTACCAAACAAGCCAATTTCTATTATTTATATTACACAGTATCTAAAACTCACTAAAG